ATATTGAAAAAAAATAATTTTTCTTCATATTTCAAAATTTAGTTCAAATATATTGAATAACAGTTTTCCATTTTTATTGAATTCAATGAATTTTTCGTTATTAGAGAAAATTATTTTAAAATTACAACAACGGAGAGAAAATAAATATTTTCTCTCCGGAAATCGGAAGAAAAATGTATTTTATTTTACAAAAGTGTTTTACAATTTAAAGAGAAAATGTACATTTTTTTATAGTGTAATAGGTACAAACAAAAATTAAAATAAAAATTTATAAATACTAAATAAAAAAAAATATTAAATATATTTTTTATTACTATAAAAATATGAATACTAAAAATAAATTTTTTTACTTTTCTATATATAAAAATCATTTAATTTATGACGTTATATATTATAGTGTATCAAAAAAAAGGGGCTTCCACGTTTTCCTTTATAAAAACGTGACTAAATGGAAAATATCGCTTTTCTTTTGGCAGTTACAATTTTTCAATGTGATTTCTTTATAGAGAGATTTATGAAGATCAAAGTCAGCACAACGTAGAATCCATTGAAAGCAAATATATACTCGGAAATGTCAGTTGGTAGACTCATAATATTTCAGTGTAACTTTCACGGATTCATGTTCCCCCTTTCTTTTTTTCTTTGCACGATATAAAAAATGATTTTTTCCCTTATACAATTTAAAAACTTTATTTTTTTTTTTTAACTTTGAAAGTTGCCAGGAAAAATTTTAATGGCCAATTGACTATACGCGATGAAAGAGAAAAAGAAGGGTGGGAGAGGAGTTAAATTCTATACTAAAATAGACATCTTTGACATATAATTATTAATTTCGAGAAAAGAGAATTTTTTCTAATTTCTTATGCAGAGAAATATTTAAAAAAAATCCACTTACCTGTAAGCGACAGTTTAATTATTTCAATTCAAATATTATAATTATCAAAAATCGATTTTCAATACTTCGGGAGGACAATATTTTTGAACTTGGAATGAGAGAGTTGCAATTTTTTAATTCAGTTTTAAAAATTTATTTCTCACAATTTAAATTTATGTTTATAAATTTAATTCAAATTTAAACGAATTTTCGAATTTAAATTTGAAAAATTTGAATTTTTAAAACTAATTTGAAGTAGAACTAATTTTAAATATTTAAAGTTTTTTTAATTTAATCGGAATTTAAAATAGTTTTAAATACTTTAAATTTAAAATTAGTAAAACTTAATTTTTGGTATGTACTTAAATTAATTGTAAATAATTCAAATTAAAATTTTTAAATTAATATTGTAAATTAAATTGGAATTTTTAAATTACTTGTAAATAATTAGAATTCAAATTTGGTAAAATTCAATTTCAACTTAAATTATTTGTAAACAATTCAAATTAAAAGTTTTTAATTAAATTTAAATTTAACTTTCGTAAAATTTAAATTGAAATTAAATTAATTTATAAATAATATAAATTGAATTTTTTTAATTAAGTGTACAAACAATTTAAATTGAAATTTTTAATTAATTGTAAACAATTTGAATTTAATATTTTAAATTTAACTTAAATTAATTGTAAATAATTCATATTGAAAATTTTAAAGTAACTGTAAAGAATTTGAAAGAAAATTTTTTTATTCAATTTAAATTTAAATGAATGGTAAATACTTTAAATTGAAATTTTTATATTTAATTTGAATTTAAATTAATAGTAAATAATTTAAATTCAAATTTTTAAATTCAATTTGAATTTAAATTTAGTAAAATTTAATTTTAACTTAAATTATTTGTAAATAATTTAGAAAGAAATTTTTAAAATAATTGTAAATAATTTGAAATGATACTTTTAAATCCAATTTGAATTTAAATTAATAGTAAATAATTTAAATTGAAGTTCTTAAATTCAATTTGAATTTAAATTAATCGTAAATAATTTAAATTGAAATTTTCAATTTAAATTTAAATTAATCTCAAATAATTAAAATTTAAATTTTTAGATTCAATTTAAATGTAAACTAATTTCAAATAATTTCAAATTAATTAATTGAAGAGCATTTATTTATTTTATTTATTTTTTTTTTGCTTTTGAAAATATTTTTAAAGAAAAAATACAAACCGATTGCGGTGCAAATGCCTATTATTCTGGTGAAGAGCGTCAAATGATCCTCGATTGGTTTGGCGTATTCAGGTAGTGCAGGTGACTTGTTTGTCGCGCCAAAATCATTCACGTGGCTCACCATTATAATTACGTTGAATGTTTGAATATAGAAAATCAATAGAATCGAGAAAAGGGTGACTACTGATCAACCAAGCAGCATCAAACTATACGTACAATTTTATGATCATAAAGTGCACTGACATGAGAAAAATTCAAGTCCGAGTTGCAAACGTATATATAGACATACATACATATATATATATCTAAGCTTTATGGGCTGCAAAAGCAATTTCAGCACACGGACAAAATTGATGTTATGTCCTCTTCCTTGAAATATTTTCAAGTTAAGAAAAGCATTTTTTTTACCCCTTCTTTAAATAAATAAAAAAATAAATAAGAAAATACAATCTTTGAAAGAAAGAAGCTAAATCTTTTTTTTATTTTTCAAAATTGAATGCATAATAAAAAAGTTTAAAGTTGGGGAAATTTTTCTCTTATATTCTTCGAGATTTCTTTTTCGTGCTGAGAAAATGTTTTAAGAACTCTCAAAAAGAACTTTCTCGTGAATTAGAGAAAAATTGTTTATCTATTTAAACAAGTTTTTTTTTCATTTTGTGAGGGAAAAAAATTCTTGTTGCCAAATTTTTTTATTTAAAAAAATTATTTGTTAATTATATGAAAAGAATTTAAAAGTTTTATTTTCTTTTAGTTTCTACTATAGAATTTGGAAAATTTATTATTTATTTATTTCAATAAATATGGCCAGCAATTCTTATTTTTTAAACAAATATTTAAATTTTATTTAAATATTTGAATTTATTTTAATTTAAATATTTAAAATTAAATTTATTTCAATTTAATTATTTAGATTTAAATTTATTTTAATTTCAATATTTGGATTTAAATTTATTTTAATTTCAATATTTGGATTTAAATTTATTTTAATTTCAATATTTAGATTCCAATTGATTTTAATTTCAAAATTTAGATTTAAATTTATGTCAATTTAAATATTTAAATTAAAATTTATATTTATACTTTAATTTAAATATTCAGATTTGAATTTAATTTAAATATTTCGATTAAAATTTACTTATATTAGAATTTTTAAATAAATATTCAAGTTTATTGATAAAATTGAGAATTCGAAAAAAATTCATTGCGACGAAATTAAAAACCGTTTTTTTCTATTTAAAAAATAAAAATTATTTACTGCTATTTGAATCACAACTTTTTTCGAAATTTTTTTTTTTATCTTGATGCGAAAAGTATTTTGGCAAAAGGAGAATTTTTAAATTTCGTTAATTATTAATTTTTTAATTCACATAATTAATAATAATAATAGTTTATCTTTCGCGACGTTATATAGAATTTATTTCACTTTGAAGCTGTCTTAAATACGTTGTTCTGATGCTCGCGCAATGCCAACTGAAAGCTTCAAAGAGCTTTTAGACGCAGATTCTCTATCTTTCTCTCTCCTGTAAGCTTTGATCCTCTCATGGAGTTCGCGCGCTACAAAAAGCGCGTGCGCGTTTTTTTTTATCCTTTTAGAAATTATTAGTTATGTGGGGGAAAAATTCTCAAAAATTTTCGAAATCACTGAATTTTTATTCTCATAAAATTATTATCCAATCGGAATTTTAATTAGCAGATTCTTTAGATGAAAGAATTTTGTTATTTAACAGGAATTTTTATTTATATAAAATTTCTATAGATTCAAAAATTTGATTTATCAAGTTCTTTACATGACAGAATTTTTATTTTTTGTACCAACATTTTTAAATTGAGCTCGAATTTCTATACCGATTCGAAATTTTATTCAGCATATTTATTAAAACAATGTTTCAATATTAGCAAACATTTTTCCATTTAATAAATTTTCCAAATTAATCGAAATTTTATTAATTAAAAAATTCTTTTTTCAAAATTTCTATTTTTTTGAAAAAAAAATTGTAGTTGAGAACAATTATTATAATGATAGGAATTTTTGCCTATCATTTTGTTTGATTATACTTACGCAGAAAAATTCTATTAAATCAAAAAAATTTTAATTAATCACCTAATTAAAGTTATAAAAATAAATTAAAGTAAATTTTTTTTCCAATTAATTAAACGCCATTATTTTCGAAACAATTAGGAAATTGAATATTACATCAAAATATGTATTAATTTTTTTTTTATTTATTTATTTACAATTATGTACGATTTGCTATATAAAAATATATTTCTTTTTTTTTTTGTTAAGAAAAAATTGATTAATTACACATGTATATTAACGGGAGATGTGAGGTAGTTTTGATTTCTTTTTTATAAAGAACAATGCAATATTAATTTATACTGTGGTCCCCTTAAATAATAAAATTTTTAAAATCACATACGATTTAAAAGTAGATCGCTTCATTTACTGCCTATGATAAGCGTTAGGTATTTTTTTGATTGTTATAATGATCACAAGATTTTTCTTTTTTCTTTTTGCTATTTGAACTTTTTATCGAGAGAAAAAAGAATTTATTTTTTCAATATTCGAAACTTGATTTGAAAACAATTTTTTCTATTCGTCCAGAACAAAATAAACTGTGTGATTCTTTTTTGTTTATAGCTAAAGAATTAGTTTTTTTTTTTTTTTTGAAAAATTCTCTTTAAATCTCAATTAGTGAAAATTCAGTCAGTGATTCACATTAGTAAGAACATTTACTAATTTTTAGAAAAATATTGTAACTAATAATAAAATAATAATATTATTATTACTATAATTATTTTAACTAGTAGTATAATAATATTATTAATATTACAACTGATAATATGAATAATAATAATAGTAATAATAAAATATAAATATTTTAACTTCATTATTACTAATATTAGAATTTTTTGTTTAGTAATTTTTATTTCCTTTTTTTTGTTTTACTAAAGTTTTATTGGTAAAATTTTCACTAATTAAATTTTAAGAGAGTTTAATGATATTTTGTGAATTTAACAAAGTGACAACAAAAAATGTGAACTTTTGAGAAATAGAAAAAAATTTCCCTGATATAAAAATCATACGTTGTCAATTTTATGTCGAGCTTTTTTTCTTCCGCTACTTTTTTGCTTTGGAGTTTGATTAAAATTTGTTGTTTTGAGCTCGTCGTCATATTTTTGCGATTGTCCAAGAATGTGTGTACCATGTATTTCTAAAAGTTCCTTTGGATTTGTATTTGATTTTTGCAAAGAAATTGGCAGCGTTGTTTGGGGAATTGGACTCAATGAACCACGTCCACGTTGAGGTGTTGCAGTTGATATTGTTCTATTGTCAAAAGAAAAAGTTTTTAATTCCAATTTTTGTTTTAGTTTATTTGTTTTTTCAATTTATTTTATTTTTTGGTTTTTGTTCCATTTATTTGTTTGTTTTAGTTTATTTTTTTTATATTAATTTATATTATTTGCTTTAGCTTTTTTGTATTAGTTTATTTTATTTGTTAGTATTAGTTTTTTTTTATTAGTTTATTTTATTTTTTTTGTTTTAGTTCTTTTTGAATTAATTTATTTAAGATTTTATTTTTTGTTGTATTAATTTATATTATTTGTTTTAGTAGTTTTTTATTAGGTATCGTTTATTTTTGTTTAAGGTTCTTTTGCTTTAGTTTATTTTATATTCATTTGTTTTAGTTTTTTGTATTAGTTTATGTTATTTATTTTTTGTTTTATTTTTTTTTGTAATAGTTTATTTTATTTTCTTGTTTTAATATTTTTTTGAATAGTTTTACTTTAGTTTTTACTATTTATATTATTTATTTTGTGTGATTTTTTATTTTAGTTTATTTTTGTGTGTCTTTTATTTATTAATTTTTTTTGGTATAACACTAATAACACTAATATAATTTGAGACCCGTTTCGAAGAAAAGTACCAAAGAATAAAAAAATTGTAGGTTATGTTTGTAATTTTTTAATTGAAAATACACAAAGAGGATCAACTCTGAATAAAAACCACTGATGTTTAAATTTTCTTTACATCTAAAGTAATTAATAAAAATTGATTTTAGTTTAAAATTGAGCGCAGAAACTTTTAATTAAGAGAAAAATAATACAAACATAACCTCAAAATTATTTGCCTCTTAGGAGCACGACTTATTTGTTGGTTTTAATATTTATTTGTAGTAGTTTTGTTTATTTCTTTGTTTCAGTTTCTTTTAGTTTCATTTATTAATTTTTAAAATGTTTTTCTTTGATTTTTGTTCATTATTTCTTTTTCGCTTAATTTTAGTTAAAATTCGACTACAACTGAATATTAATATTTACCTTTGTTTACTATTGGGCAGTCGACTAGAATCAATTGGTGCAAGTCTCACATTTTTTGGCCATATTGTAGGACAAACTGGTGGCTGCCAAGCCGAATGAATTTGAGGTCCTCGCATCAGACTCGTTTTTCTCCCCGAAGTTTGTCTTCGTCCTGAATTAACATTTCGGTTTATTCCTGAAATTAAAATTAAAATATTTCTCATTTACTCCCGACAGTAGTTTTTTATTTTCATTATCAAATATCTTCTTTATGTTTATCTTTAGAAATTTTCATTGTTATTTTCTTTGTACTTTTTTCATTACCTCGATTCCATGTTGTACTCGTTGATTGTCCTAAAATTTGAATTGGAGCTGTTTCTAAAGTACAAAAACTTTCTCGCGTTGTACGAACAAATGGAACTGGACTGACGACAATTTTTTCATTAAATATTGTACCCGCTTTGTTTCTTGATACTTGAGGTGTATTTGGAGGTTCGTCACCGGTTTCCTCTGTTGGATATCTTGCCGATATGGCAGTTCGACGATTCCTGAAATAATTCACAATATTAGAAGAATTGTTTTGTTTTTTCGAGGTTTGGTGAAAAAGAAATGTTTTTCGACCCTATTTTTAGGGATTTTATAATTAGAGCAATAGTTTTCATTTTTGATAAGTAGTGTTAATAATTCTTTTCGACAATGTGATTTTTTTTCAATTATTATTTAAATTTTTTGTTGTTGCGTACCAAAATGATTTTTCCGAATCCTTTGATTCAGTTTCGGTTTTTTGTTTACCCGAAGCTCTATCAGAGTCAGATTTTTGAAAATTTTCATCACGATGATGAATTTGTCTGTGTGAACTGAGTGTACTACGAAAATTATTTGTCGGTGCTGGAGTTATTGTCAGGAGTTCCTCTAAATCGTGACTCAACATATTCTCCTCTTCAATGTCCTCTCGAATAATTAGAGCTGAATTCACATATTCCATTAATTCATCGACAATTTCTTCTCGAGCTCGTTTATTACTTCCTGTTCCTGAATCTTCTGATTCCTGTTTTTGTTATTGTTACCATTATTCTTATTTTTATTAAGATTATTATTATTATCATTTGCATTATCATTAGTATTATTATTTTTTTAGTATCATTATCTTTATTGTTATTATCGTTAACATTAGCATTAGAATCAGCATTGGCATTAGAATTAGCATTTGTTTTTATCATTAGAATTAGCAGTAAAAGTAGAATTAGGATTAGAATCAGCATTAAAATTAGCATTGCCATTGAAACTATTATTTGCATCAGAATCAGCATTAAAAATAGCATTAGCATTAAAAGTAGAATTAGCATCAGAATCGGCATTAAAAGTAGCATTATCATTAAAAGTAGAATTAGCATTAGAATCAGCATAAAAATTAGCGTTAGCATTAGAATTAGCATTAAAATTAGCATTAGCATTAGAATTGACATTAGAAGTAGCACAAGTATGAAAATTCGAATCATAATTAGCATTAGAATCAGTATTAAAATGAACACTAGCATTAGAATTTTGATTAAAAACAGCATTAACATTAAAATTCGAATTGTAATAAGCATTTTACCTCCAGGAGAAAATTATTATTAGAAGCAATTTCCTCCTCGTTGAGTTCAGAATCAAAAGACTGTTGCTTCCTCTTGAGAGATGATTCGTTATTACTTGCTGCAGATTCGTCTTCTGCTGTTTCTTTCTGATGATTTTTACCAACAATTCTCAAGTGGGGCAATTGATTTTGCCACTGAAGACATTCGTCGAATGATGGACCAAGTGGAAGTTGTTCATTCTCATCGTAAAGTGTTCTCTCCACAGCATCCCATTGTTGTGTAACACGTTTAGTGGCCACTTCTTCCATATCTTCTGGCCATGAGAGTGTCGTTGCTCCACTCTGTTCAGCCCAACTCTCCGATTCATTGCGAATTGAATATAATGGAGGTTTTCGCGACAAATTTTTCAGCACACTTGTGTTTTCCCTCTCGTCAGTTGCAATTCCTTGCAACTCATCATGTGGTAATTTCACTTTCTTCTTGAGAGAGCTGCAAAAGGAAAGGAGAGAAATTTAAATAGAAAAAAAAGACTAAACTGCTGTCCTCAAAAATAAAATCTTTTTATGAAATGAAACCTTTTTCTCCAAAAAAAAGCATCGGAAATAATAAATAGATTATTTTTTGTCAAACTTCATGAACACCACATTAAATTAGAAAATGCATTAATTAATTGTTTCTTTAGTGATACAGAATAGAAAAGTAATAGTATGTTAGTGAGAAATTAAGTTATAAAATTATTTAAATAGCATTAAAATAGTCACATTGCATGGAATAATAAATTAAGATTGCGGCTCGTTATAACAGAATCTTTAATATAATCAGATGGACATAACATTTATGCTAATTGTTATTTTACAATAAAAATAATATATCAATTATGCTAATTGTTTTGTTATCTAAAAATAAACCGCACATTCATTTGTTCAAACTATTGTTTATCATCTGAAACTATTAACCCCGGTGCAATTTAATCTAATATCAAAAATTTCTTCACACCTAATATTACATACATCATCCAATCAGACAAAAAATAAATCAAATTCCCAAAAGTTTGTGATAAAATTTGTCATTTGTTATTTGTTAATAAATAAGTGCATTAATATTAAAAACACTTACGTGGTTCTTTTTGTCAATTTACGCATCTCATGCTTTCCTCCTTTGTAATTCAATCAGGTTTTATTTAAAAAAGAAAAGCAGACTCTTAAGCTGCTACGAATTTTGAAATAAATAACAAAAGTTCTGTCGGTTTCGCCAGGTGTTCATTGTGGCTAGGTAGATAATCGATTATTTATTCTTTTTTTTCCTTCCTTTTTTTTAATGGTACCCGACCTTCGGAAGAATGATAAAATGAAGCATTAGGGTTATGTGAGATGAAAATAAAAACTGAATTGAAAATTTTCTTTGTCACTTGAATTTTTAATGTCAGTCATCTGTTATATTTGATATATTTTCTTCCTCTCTCTCGCTCGAAAAAAAAATAAATGAAAACAAATATCTTGTCGAAACGAAGAAGCAGGTGGCAATGAGTTGGAATAATTTAGCGGGACAGAAAGTAGAAAGAGAGAGAGAAATTTTCGAGCGTGCGCGCTTTATCGAAACTAGCAAGGCCATCTCAAAAATTTTCAAGTTGATCAGCTGATTTTGGCTTGTTATCGTTCATATACTTTTTTTTCGCTAAAAATGAGTATTAGAAATTCTGCTTGAAAGAGAAAGAGAGAGAGAGAGAGAAAGGGATATTTTAAGCACGCTAAAACACGCAAACCGGATTTGATTACGTGGATTGCATGTTTAATTTTGTCGTTTAATCTTGATTTGGAGTAGAGAAATCGCTGTTTTTCTTTGACGTTTCGTTGATTTGGATTTGGTGTAAAGGTGTAAATAATAATGGCCGCAGAAGAGGGCTTCGAACAAGTGAGTTTATTATAAGTTCCCTTCTTCAAAATCGATTCCTTTTTGCTTTTTCTTATCTCGACATGTTTATCGTATTTTCGCAATCATTACAATCATTTCTCGCATATATAATTAGCTTTCCTTTACATATATAATATTCGTTTTTTGAGGTTAGGTTTTTACCACCGTCATAACCTCTTAATCTTTCATCTCTTCTTTTCTCTGTTTTCTAAAAATTACACTGTTTACTGATTTAACTTGATGAAATTAGTTTTTCCTTTTTTTTAACGAAATTTTAATCTTGTTAATATGGTATAATAATAATCATTATCTTGTTATTATAATAAGGAAAGCCTTATAATAACAGTCTTGTCAATATGATAACAAGATTGTTAATATAAGAACAATCTTGTTAGTATGATAACAATCTTCTCTCTAAATCTAAATTTTTAGTTAAAAATAACTAATTATTAATAAACTGTTGGTTGACGTTTGCTTCCGAAATTAGTAAAAAATAACGAATTATTAGCAAACCTTTGGCTGAGTGTTTATATTCATTTGAGAAATTGGTATTTTTTGGTTGTTTCTTAATTTGTTAGTATAGTTGATGTTTATTAAGGCACTTTTACAATAAAAAAAATAATTTAGTTTGAAGATGAGGAGACGGAGATAGCGATAGGAGGGACATTACCAGGAGGTCGTAAGCGTTTATTCTCAAAGGAATTAAGATGTATGATGTACGGTTTCGGAGACGATCAGAATCCTTATACAGAAAGTGTTGATCTATTGGAAGATCTTGTAATCGAATTTATCACTGAAATGACACATCGTGCAATGGAAATTGGTCGCACTGGTAGAGTACAAGTTGAGGATATCGTATTTTTAGGTGAGTTTCTTGATTTTAGTTGCTAATTTTTAGTTTGCTTTCTAATTTTTACAATGTCTGCTTTAATCGGTGTCGATTTTTTTAATACAATTTTTTTTGCTTCTTAAAGTCGATCCGAGACCTGATTTCGAATCTAATTCGATTAAAACTTTGCTTTCTGTTAAATCCGCTTTTTAATGAATTAATTAATAAAAATAAATGAAATTTGCCTCTTTCAGTTAGAAAAGATGCGAGAAAATATGCCAGAGTAAAAGATTTACTCACAATGAATGAAGAACTAAAGAAAGCGAGAAAAGCTTTTGATGAGGTTAAATATGCAGGTACTGTCAATCAGTGAAAAATGCTCTCATATAATGCTTGCATTTTAGATATTTTTGTTTCTCTAGTGGTTTTTTTTACGTAACATCATTCCTATATATTTTTCCTTTATATCGATTTTTTTTCCTTAAAATATCGAAATTCAACTACTACCTTGAATATTTTTTTTTCTTCTATATATTATTCGATAACTTATCAAGATATCGTTTCTTTCTTTAATTGCGTATGACACGTAATATTTTTCAGCGCATGAAAGTTAGTTTCTTTTTTCTTTCTTATACAAAGAATCATTGAGAAAAATGCTGCTAAATGTTTAAAATTCTCATTTAGAAACTACAACATATTGCATATTATTTTAATTTTTTATTTTTAAAAAAGTAAACAATTTTTCAATTATTATTTTGTCTATTATATAAATGATAGTTACTTTATTTCATTTATATCTGTTGATAATTTGAATAGATATTTTTTTTTTTTTTTGGGTGATGGATAAAAGAAATTAGTTTTTTCTAGGGTATAATTTTAAACTGAAAGACTGCTTAATGTTTGTTTTAAATTATTTCTTTATTTTATCTCATTGAGATCTTGATTTGTTGAAAGTTTATGAGTATTGATTGCAAGAATAGTTGAAATAAGTTATTTTGAATGACTTTGAAGGTCGAATCAAGGCTGAATGCTTTCTGCAATACAAATAAATATAATTTTAAAAAAAAATACGAAAAAAATGTCTTCAAATCTAAAAGATAAAAAAAAATAATATAAGATAATTTTTCTAGTAGAATTTTTCATCTGGACTCATATTGTCTTTTTTTTCGTTTATATTAAATGCGGTTGCATTTCTTTTTTGTTTTCTCATATAAAATTGAAACTACGTTTTGTTATTGTTAGTAAAAGATTCTTTTTTTTTGGTTACATTTCGCAAGTAGAATGTTTTAGTAAAAATAATATGAATAGTTGCAAATTATTTTATAAAAAACAAACAATTTATGGTTATTGTTATGCGCATAAATTGCTGAAATAAAACTAATGCCTTTGGCATGTAGATTACGCATTATTTCTGACCTATACTCATAGCTAATCGATTGAATTTCGAGTATTTGACTAAAATTGTATTCAATTAACTGTAATTATTATATTTTATTTGCGAAATTTTATTAAATAAATTTCATTTACCAAATTTTATTAATTAAATTTTATTTTCTATAAATAAAAAATTTTAGAAAGAAAAATTAACGGGAGTATTAAAAATAATTTCGTGGGACAAATACTCGAAAATCAATTTTTAGTTGGTCATCCTAACCCGCCTAATTAGTATTTAAATAATTACTCGATTTCTTTGAAATAATTAAAAAAAAATTTATATTCACCAGTGCAGCATGTGTATGTGTGCACAATTGCAATATTTTCTTTTCCTTTTTTTTTTCTTTGTCTTTTGTTTGAAACTTTTATTGCGTAGTTAGTGAAATTGAAAAAAAAACAAATCGAAATATTCAGTTAATTTTTTTTTCTAACAGAATAAGGTCTTCTGCAACTTCGAAAACTTCCACTGAAGATCCTGATAAAGCTAAACATAAAGGGAAGACTTTTTTTCATCTATTTATTTATCTACGTTCAAAAAAAAAAAAAAAAAAAAAATACTCATCGTCAGGGATTCTTTTCTCTATTTCTTTAAATCGCAGTATTTTAAATAGAACACAACATTTTTATATACAAATTGCCATGACAAACAAGTACCTGTTTAGTAATTAATATTATATGATAGTTTTAAAACAAAATCAATTTGCGCAAAAAAATTTCTGATCAATTTGTATTTATACAAGGAGCAAACATTTTTTTCTTCAATTGTATATGTATTGAGTGCAAAATGTCAATTAGGAGAATTAAGAATAATTTTTTATGTACTTTTTGTTTTTAATATACGATAGAATGAAAAAGAATACTGATTTTTCAATTTATTTGGATGACAATTGTTTTTTAAAAACTCACTATTTTTATTAATTAATATTAATTGTTTTTTAAAAACTCACTATTTTTATTAATTAAACTCCTTGCGAATTTGTTTTTTTATAGTGATCGAGGAAAATATCAAAATTCTCTCTGAAAGTCTGGGAAAAAGGAATTACAATTTTTGTAGCAACCTAATTTTATAATTAAAATTTTGAATGTGTGAGAAAGAAAATGTTTCTTGAACTTAAAGTAGATTTATTAGTAAAAATGCTTCTGTACAATTTTTTTATAATCGAAGAATTAGTATTAGTTCTTATGAAAAAATAACACAGACAACTAGTTAATATTGGACACGGCATTTTTTGCTGACAAAATAACATCGTTTACTCCAACACCCTCATAGGAAGAGCCACACAATCCTAAAGGTATTTTATGTTCTTCAATGTAATTTTTAATACGATTCATCCTCACCTCATGGCCGACGATATATTGTGGAATACAATTCCTCAGAATCGACACGTTACTTCCAATCGGAGGTACAACAATATTTAATATCGTTCTCAATTGCTCCAGCGCAACTTTCAATAAATGCTCCTCACTTGGATTTGTTCCGAAATATTCTTCGAACCATGCTCCACCCAACATTACAGTAAAGACCTATTTAGAAAATGATTTAATTTATCTACAAAATTCTTTTTTTTTTAAAATATTTTTTGCCTCTAGTACAGTAAAATTTTTGTCAGTAATTGGTCCATAATTTTTCATTTTAGGTCCGTAAAGTCCGTAATTTAAAATACTTTCACTGGTTCGAGCCCTGCTAGTAAAATATCGAACAAAAGAAACTCACCGTATTTTCTTGTGGAGACACGCAGGAATCGAAAATAGTTCCCAAAATTGGTAGTCCCTCTTGAGGTGGTACAAGAAATCCAAAAGCATCTCCAACTACAACTTCTCGAGGAAATTCCAGATTAACAATACCAACAGTGACCGTTGGTATTCCCTCCAACTCGGATGCCAAATCAGGATGTTGTTTTTTAACCAATGCTGCTAAATTTTTAGCCGGTAAACTCGAAATGATACGTTCGAATTTTTTCGTCTCACCCCCCGATTTTAATTCAACACAATCCGAATGGAACGTTAATTCTTGACATTCACTTTCCATATGAATGTTAACATCTCTGGAATATAAATCATCAGCTAATTTTTGAGGCAACTGCTCCAATCCACCTTCAAGTGTCCAAATAGCCCATTTTTCTTTCACTGCACGATCCACTGAATCCATATCGAGTGGATGTTTCAGAGCCATCTTATTTGGTGTCATCTTCGTTTTCCTCCCACTATTTATCATTCTCTCCTTCAGTAATCCTTTAAATATCGAACCATGCATTTGCTCTATCTGGAATAATTTTGGCATCAGGAAATTAACGCTTATTTGTTTTGCATCGCCGGCACATATTCCACAGATTATCGGACTAATAACATTGTCGGCTATATCTTTACCGAGTCGTCGTTCTATAAAATCGTAGACACTTTCGTCTATTAGGGTAATTGACGGTGTGTTTAGTTCATTCCAAATGGCTTTTAATAGAGGACGTTTGAATGGTGGACATGTTCTGAATAGAGGTTTCAGTGAAATTGGTAGGACGTGTAATTTTTTATCGATGTAGATTAATCTGTTTATTGCTGCTGGATGATTTACTGGTATTGATAAAATTTTATGATCCAATTTTAAGGCGTCTACTAATTTTAATGTATTCTTTCCCGGATCGCCGTGTGGTCGAATTGTTCTTGGTCCCTGTTCAAAGATTCCTCCGTTGGGGGATTTTTTCGTCCATACCCAACCTCCCAATCTGTTTGTGGCCTCGTATAAGACGACGGATCCTAATTTTGGATTTTCAAGGGCATAATAAGCTGCACTCAATCCTGAGAGACCACCACCTAATATTGCCGTCATTTTTTTCCTCTCTGCTTATCTGGAAAAATTTGTCGTTTTTTAAAATTTGTTTTAAACTTTATTTATGGGGCTAAAGTCCGCAAGGGTTTCAAAAACGAAAATCAAAAAATAATGCGATCATTTATTTTGTTTTGGCTTCAAGTTGCTGTTATTTTTGAGCAAATGACTTTTAAGTAACAATGTTACTTATTATGCTCATAAAATTTAGAGATTTAACTTCGAAAAAAATTCTGTCTTGATTTTTCACTTTCAAAAAACCTTGCGGACTTGAGCCTCTCATTTATAATTAAACTCAAATGTTAGATTAAAATTAAACTAAAAATAAAATCAAACTAAAATTAGATAAAATCCGGATAAAATTTATGATCCACAACTTTCGAACGTTCAATTGAACGAAATAATTCCCATTAAAAATGTTTTAATAAATTATTGATTTGTCTTAAGAATAAAAATTTGAAGTTTATCATTCAGAAACATTTGGACAAAAAATGAACTATAAAATTAGATTTAAATTTATAATTAAATATTTATAAATTATCTGTTGGGAATTTTGACAAAAAAACCGGTTTGTAATTTAGCAGTTGTCATTAATTAATATTTACACTTTTTTCTACTGGTAAAAATAAGAAAACTTCATAAGATAGTTATTAAACACATAGATGACTTTCAAAATATCAAAATATTAAATATTTATTCAAAAATATTACTGCTTTTGGACTGAAATGTATTATAACCTCAAAATTACGTGATGATCCGAATAGAAATTAATTCTCACTTCACGATTTTCACTGCCTTTTTTCTTATAGTAAACCATAAATACTTCCTACCAAATAATTAAACAATTATAATTTATAACTAATCGAAAACATATTGTATAATCAAAAAATAAGCACTATCACATTTCGGATAAGGTTAGGTTACACGTACCACTTTGTGCATTAAGTTCATTTAATAATTAGTTTTTATTTATTAGTCATCAATTATTAGTTTTCATCAATATTTAGTTTTATATAAAAATCAAATTTTTTTTCCTTTTTTTTATAGAGATTTTAAGAATAAATTTCTAATTTTTTGTTCACGTAAATATTTCGGTAAAATAGTGTACTAAAATTACCCACGTGGTTCAATGATTTATATACCTACCTAACCCTGAATTGTACCCATGCGGATTGCGGCATAAACGATTTTCACGATTCTGTGAATAAATAAACAAAAATGAATTAAAAGTCATTTGGTAAAATTTAATAACTCAAGAAACTGAATTTGTGCTATTAATTATCTACCTAAACAAAGAGAAAAATGGAATTCATACGTTCAGCATTTGAAAGTTTGCTTGATCCAAAAGTTGGAATACCATACGCGATTATATTCGCCTATAGTGTTTATTCGTTATTTTTAAAGAAAAATTGTAACGAAAGGTCTAATGAAAATGTTAAATTTCCCGTAAGTAGAAACTATTTTTTCCTTTTTGTTATAAAAAAACAAATACATAATTTAGGATATTGTAGATTCAATATTAAGCATAACCTCAAAGTATAAACAGAAAAGGAAAGAAGTTAAATTTTTATTTATTCATTACAGAAAATGACAATAAATTCTACTGACGATGACGATTATAAAATGGTTTTGGTAATAAGAAAAGATTTAAAAATGGGAAAAGGAAAAGCTGCTGCTCAATGTGCTCACGCTGCTGTGGCATCGTACAAAATTGGTTTGAAAACACCTGAAATTTTAGAAGCCTGGGAAGATTGCGGTCAGAAAAAAATAACAGTACAAGTAATAAGCTTTTTTTTAATAATTCATAATTTTTATTTATTTATTTTTTTATTTATTATTTTTAATAATTAATCATTTATTCAGGTTGATGATGAAACGGGATTAGTGGAAGTTTACAAACACGCAAAGTCTTTGGGCATCATTACAAATGTGATACAAGATGCAGGACGTACGCAAATTGCAAGAGGAAGTAAAACTGTGTGTGCAGTTGGTCCGGGACATTTTGAAAAAATTGACAAAGTAACTGGTCATTTGAAATTATACTAAAACATATTTTAAAATATAAATTTTTCTACCGCAAATCGTTGAAGATTTTCTTTCATTAAACTGGAATTCATCGTCATGTAATTTACTAATTAAGTGAATCATTAAATTTATCGTTTATTTTTTTTATATCTAGAAAATTATAAATGCAGATCAAAGTCATTTTGGATTTTTATATTTAGATTTACAACCGTCATTAATTTTGACCTGTTAGGATCTTTAGAACTTTGTAGTGTTTTATAATCTGTAGGACCTTTAGGAACTTTAGAATCTGTGGAACCTTTAAGTCCTTTCAGATTTTAAAAACCCTCAAGGTCTTTAAAATTTATAGAACCTTTAAAATCTTTAGGAACTTTAAATTATTTAAGGTCTTTAAGATCTTTAAAATCTGTAGAATCATTAGGACCTTTATGATCTCTTAAATTCTTAGGACCTCTAGAATCTGTAGGGTCTTCAGAACCTTTGGAATCTTAAGGACTTTCAGAATCTTTAGGACCTTTGAAGTCTTTAGGCTTTTCAGAACCTTTAGATTCTTTAGGGACTTTAGAACCTTTTGGATCTTTAAAATCATTAGTATCTTTAGAATCTTTAGGATCCTTGGAACCTTTATGATCTTTAGAATCTGCAGAACCTACAAGATTTGAAATATCTACAGAACCTTTAGAATCTTTAGGCATTGTAGGACCTTCAACATTTTTGGAATCTGTAGGATCTTTGGAACTTTTTTTTTAATATACAGAATTTAAAAAGAAAAAACCAATAAAATAAAAACAAACGACAGATTAATGTGGCAAGAAATTAGCCAACTTTATTTTCACTGCTAATAATATAAAACAATATCTTACATATATCTTAAGTAATATTGTCAACATAATAATTAACAATATTTTTTTCAATTTTTTGTTTCTTGTCTTCTTATAAATATGTCATAAATAATAATTTATACTGGAGGTGGAGGCGCTTTTCTATGTATTTTATTAGAACTTGTCGCGCTACATTGGGATTCAGCAATTGATCTTCCATCGGCTTCATCGCGCCGACATAATTCAGTCTCGTTGTGTAACCAATTTTGTGGTTGTGCCGTTCTTCTCATTTGATTTTGCTCCGTCTCAGGCACTGAATCCACGTCCTCGAGAAGTTTCGAGAGCGATGGAGCAAGACCCAAACCTAAATTTCGTTCATGATAAACCTCTGATATTGTTGGCGTTAATTCACGTGTTAAACTTGTCAATGATGTTGCGACATTACGTAAATTATGCGGTATCGCTTCATTTGTTTGGGTCGATTCCTTTGGAGGTTTTAAATCTTCATTTGATGAATTTCGTAATTTTCTCGATGAACCATTACCAATTTCTGTTCGTACACTCAGTCGTTCTAGTACGGTGACGGGAAGTGGAGGTAGAGGTTGTCTTCTCAATACGGTGGCGTGGCCATTTTCCCAATCTGTTGCCGAACTACTTGAACTTGAACCAGGTCTTGCGCTTTGATCGGAATATATGTTTCTAATTCGTTTCTGATGATTTAGATTCATTGCGATTGGTGGACTTGGAGTGAATGCAGCGTCTGATTCACCTGAAAATAAATTAGAGATTGTTTAATTTTGAAAAAGTTTGGTTTCGAAAAAGTTGTGATAGGTGTAAACATTTTTTTGGGTACTACCTCCGCCGTTTTGGATCGACTGTCTCGATACTGAGATGTTGGAAGGCTCCGTGGTTTTTCCGTCAGGCTCGCCACGATGTCGAACATAGCTTGCAAAAGCACCGCCTAATCTTGGACGATCTGTTAAACTTTTGTCGGTTGGAGCAACGGAAACGAGGCTCTCCATAGAACTTCCCGAGTCAAGACTAAGACTCTTTGGCGCTTCTTGAGTATCTGAAAATTTATTCACTCTTACTGCCAAAGTAATTTTTAACCATAAATATTATTTTCTATAATAAATATTTTTTTAAATCTATTAATTTTTAACATTTAGTTTAGAGACTTTTATAATTTACTCACCGAAAAGTGCTAGAAGTGCTTGAAGAGCGAATTGCACTGCCCTGCGTGATGCCTGTTTTCCAGTTCGGAGGATAACCTCCGACTGACCAACTTCCATTAGATCGAAACCCAAACTTGCGAATAATTCGTGTGAACCCGAAGCTCTCCAGACGCGAACCGGTAACGAAACTTCATGACCCTCGGTTGCACTGCTAGCTCTTCTCATTGCAGAAATAACATCCTCCGCAACTTCCGGCGCCTAAAATTAAACCATTAATTGCAATTCCATTTGTTTGGGAAATAAACATTAACAACATACCTGTAGGAGTCGAACTAAAGCGTGCAATGAGGCAGGACCCAATCCAAGAAGAGCTTGCAAACTAGCACTACATCTTGTTAATCTTTCCTCTGGATCACTTTGAGGGAAAAATACCGATGGTCGAATTCCATTGCCAGCCGGTTCGAATCTAAATCCAACTGACATGAGTAATTCCCTCCAGCCAGTTGCTGAACCAACTTTATTTTCGATACTCCTCTGGGTGGTGTACATCGCATTCTTTTGACCGCAGTGTATTCTTTGTAGGGATTTTTCCACTAGATGCAAAGTCACACGGAGAGCGTCTCGACTCTGCTCTGGACCACTTCGTAGCAGTTCGGCTAAAGCTTGACCCATCAAAGCAACCTGAAAGGAAAATTTTATTATCTTTTGTCTGGTGAAAGGGTTCTTTTTTTAGTTTCCTTTTTAGAGATTCTTACCTTATTTGACAAACGAGCATCACCTCCGAGAAGGAGCCATCCGGCCCAATTTATAGGATGAGCAAAGTGCCTGGTGTGTTGAACAGTTTGCATTGCTTCAGCTAATGCTCTTGATGCTCTTGCACCTTGCAACATTGCACTGTAGAATGCTCGGAGTAAAATACTACCGGCTGTTGGTGGTACCGGCCACATTCCAATTAAGACACATTGAGCACCAGCATTAAGAAGAGTTTTTGTCAATTTTTCCACTCCGTCTGTAGTGACTGTTGTATTGTCCCCGCCACTCCAACAATGTCCACTGGAAAGAACAACCAAACGGGCTGTTAATTTTAATCTCGATACATCAGCACAATTGATTAGGTACTCTGGTCTCTCTGGTGGTTCCTCGCTCTGATCAGCACATAAAGCTAGATTTGGTGAATCCCACAGAATGGGAGTTGTTAGATGAACGCATTCGGCATCTGGTAGTGATCTCAAGACTGCTGATCTTGTTGCTTCCGATCCAATCAAAGGTCTCGTCTCCAGGAGTTCGGCGACGATTCCAGTTTCTGTTTCGGCTGAGGAAACACTTTCAGGCCAGCCGAAATCTTCTCGAACTTTGTCTGGTAGTGTTGGATTTCCTGCTACTAAGGCGGCGACAGTTGCTCCACCTTCGGGCATTGGGGTTCTTGAACGTTTTTTAAGAGCTGCTAGTGAAGGTACTACTAGAAGGGAGAATCTCTCACACAGATAATCCTCACTTGTGGTTGATTGTAATGCTGGTAAGGGAGCTAAGAAAAGCGATTTTTCCACAACCATGATCAATTCTTTTCTTGTTGGTGGTAAAAGATCTTCGAAAGGTGCTAGAAGTAGGTCGTATAGGTGTTGAATTGCTTGAGGTGCTTGCCAGGATGGACCCTTTGCTCTTCCCCATCGTACACTACCAGCTCGGGAACTTACAGAACCGACGCTGAATAAACTACTTAGACTGTAAGAACTAGCATTTAGATGATGTCCTCTCGATGGAATTGTTGCGCACTCCTCATTTATGTCACTAGTTTCGCCAAGAAGAGCTTCTCTAGCATGAGCAACTCTCTTCTCTAAGTCAACACCGTTCTCTAGAATTGTAGAATGGAATCGTATCAATCCTCGACCGGGAGCAAGACACCAGGCGTGAAGTTCGCTTTCTACTTCACTATAGTACAGGATAATTCCTCTTTGTCTATCAACAATCTCTGAATAATGAGTCGCATCATCCAAACTGTTCTTTGTTCGTCTGGAACGTTCCGCCCAATTCAGGGCCTCCTCAGGTCGACTCAAGTTCACCAGGACCTTTTGCAACATTCTGTATGTTTGAGAAAGTAGATCATTTCTGCTGGGTTGACCACAAATATACACCAAACTTGCCGAAGAATTATCTAAAGATTCTAGTAGACTCGCAGCTTTTTCAAGTTGTTCGACAGAAATTGTCGCCTCTCCAGCTTCCCAATGCACCAAACCTAGACGATGTCTGAGCCTAGCTGCCTCTTCTCTGCGACCTAAACCCTCGGACAGAGACAATCCCGATTGGAGATAACTTAGCGCTCGGCAGAGATCACCACACAAATGGTGAAGACGCCCAAGACTCGAGAAAGCTGCAGCTCTTGCTACTTGATCCCCAGCCGCAGCAGCTAGACTCAAAGATTGTTCCTGAAGTCTAATTGCCTCTTCGAATTGGGCCAGAGCTTCATGAGTGGCTCCCAAGTTGGCGCAGGCTCTCGCCTGCAAACCGGCCGCGTCCAAACTTTCCGCTATCGACAATTCTAGTTGATGATGACGCAAAGCGGAATTGAGATCATCCATCAGGAGATGAACAACTCCAAGTCCACTTGCAGCTTCCGCTTCTCCGGCCCGATCCCCTAGACCCCTCGCCAAGGCTAACTGATGCGATAGACAACTTACAGCTTGTTCATGATTTCCAAGAGCTGTATGGACTCTGCCCAGATCACCATAAGCCGCTCCTCTCAATTCCAGATTATCGACTTCATGAGCAGTGACCAATCGTTTCTCAAAACAAACCAAAGCCTCCTGTAAATTACCCGAAGCTTCTCGAGCCCTACCAAGTCCCCTATAAGCTCTCTCCTGATCACGAATACTACGTAATTTCAGTGCCGCTGATAATTGCTGCTCATGACACTTGATCGCCTCATCAGGATCACCCAAAGCTTCATAACAATCTCCCAAGTTTCCTAGTGCTCTAGCTTTATCCAATAAAGCCGTTCCAGTTGTCAGTGGTTCCAATGTCGCTAATTGTTGCTCGAAATATCCAATTGCCTCCTCATAATGTGCCATATTCAGTCTCGCTATTCCCAAATTACCTAAAGCTTGTGCTTCAACACCTGAATCGGCAAGTTCTCTTGCTCTCTCCAATTGTTCCTGATAGCACTTAACAGCGTGTGTATATTGTCCCAAAGCCATGTGAACAGCACCCAAATTCCCATGAGCACGACACTCGCCCCTCAAATCACCGGCTTCTTGTCTCAACGTTAACTCTTGAGTATGAAAACCTAAAGCTTTATCCAAATTTCTCGTTGTTCGATGAGCAATTCCCAATGCTCCATACGCTGCTGCCTCTAAACTCCTGTCAGCCGATTGTCGAGCTAAATTCAGTTGTCTCTGATGCATCTTTATCGCTTCGTCAGTCTCTCCGAGTTTCAAGAGACAGTCTCCGATATTCCCCAGAGCACGGAACTTACCAGCGAAGTGCTTTGTCATATGGGCTATTGCTAAAAAACAGAAGAGATAAATGATATGTAATAGATAAATTAAAAGGAGATTATGTTCAATAAAGAAGATTAGTTACCAAGATAATATTTTTGGCACTCCAACGCAGTGTCCAAATTTCCAAGTGCCAAGTGAGCAAGTCCAAGGTTACAGTAGGCTCTTCCCATTCCAGATTTGTCCTGCAAATCCTTAGCCAGAGCTAGATCTTGATCGTAATATCTGACCGCTTCGCGATGATTTCCCAAGCAATAGTGAGCATAGCCAAGAAAGTGACAAGCCTTTGCTTCACCTTCGACGTCGTGTAATTCCTGAGACAGCATTAGATAGTTTTCGTAATAGGGAACAGCTTCCTCGAATCGTCCTCGCGACGAGAGGCAATTGGCGAGATTCAGCAGAGCACAAGCCTCACCCGCAGCGTCTTTTAATTCTCTAGCTATTGCTAAATGTACCCTATAGTGTCTTAATGCAGCCTCGTGGCCTTGTACCGCCTGATAGGCTACTGCTAAATTTCCATGTGTACTCGCTTCTGAACTTCTGTCGTTTACCTGATTGGGAGAGAAAATTTACACCCTATTAATCAATTTCTGATGCACTGTACCATAATCTTGACGATCTACCATACAATCCAGTATAATTTACCTAAAATTCTACTTAGAGGTAGGATCCTTTTTTTTGTTAGTTATAGAGGTAGGATCTTAGGTAGGTTATACTGGGTTCTAGATTTTTGTGAAAATGAAAACATCTAATAATGCAACTAATTGCTGATAAAGTCGAATCCGTAATTAGCATACCTCTTTGCTTATTGTTAATTCTTGTTTGTGGTATTTAATAGCTTGCTCGTAATAGCCCAGAGCATTGTACGCATTGCCAATGTTTCCGTAGGCTCTACCCATTCCTGCTTTATCACCCAAACTTCTGGCAATTCCAAGATGCGCCTGATGTAATTTTAGAGCCGCGTCATGCTCCCCAAGCAGCTGATAAACAATTCCAAGATTACTGCACGCTCTTCCCTCGGCAACTTTATCTTTTGTCGTTAGTGCCACGTCCAATTGTCGCTGATGCCAAAGTTTTGCTTGAGCTAGGTCACCTAAAAGAAAAGTCATACAATTTTCTAAAGAATACTTTCTTGTAACGAATGAATGAAGAAATTAATTAATAATTAATGAACGCCTTGTTGCAATGAGCAGACGCAGACTTTCAAATCACTAACCGGCGCATCTGGCCGCATGTCCCAGACCAGCATAGGCTCTGGTTTCAATTGCCCTATCGCCAAGTTCCTGAGCGATTCGAAGTACATTCTCGTGATAGGCCATTGCTTGTCCGAAATTCCTACGATAATGATGGGACGACCCTAGATTACTGAAGGCCCTGGCCTCCTCGACACGATCGCTGAGTCTTCTGGCTATTCGTAAATGTTGGGTATGACAATCGACGGCACTTTCGAATTCGCCCATTGCTAGATAAACGGCGCCTACGTTTCCTATTTCCCTTGCCTCCTGGAGACGATCGCCCATTTGCTTCACGAGCTGGACACACTGCTTATGGGACGCTAGGGCATTCGGTAAATCCCCAATTGCCGTGTAAACGTGGCCAAGACTCGTTAGTGCTGAAGCTGCTGCTTGCGTGTCTTTGCACTTCATCGCCAGGACCAATTGATAACGATGAGCTGTTAATGCTTCCTTGTAACTTCCCTTGCTGAAGTAGGCCGAACCAAGATTTCCATGGGCTCGACATTCGCCCTGTGTGTCGCCCAGAGATCTTGCTACTCCTGTGTAGAATTAAAAGAATTATTAGGTAAAGTCATTAATTAACCTTCTGCCTACGCTGAATTATCCCCACTCTAGGGTTTTTGAATGTAATCTTTAGGATTCTTAGGACCAGTAAAATCTGTAGAATCTTGAGAACCTTTAAAAATCTTTAGTATCTCTAGGATCATCAGAATCTTAAAGAACTTAAAAACCATTTGGATCTGCAGAATTTTTTTAATCTTTAAGATCTTTAAATTTTTTTTAATCTTTAGGACCTTTAGAATCCTTTGGTACTTTAGAAATTTTTTGATCTATTGGATCATTAAAATCTTTAGGAACTTCAGGACCTATACAATTCTTAGGAACTTTAGGATCTTTAAAACCTTAAAAATCAGTTGAATCCTTAGAACTTTTATAATCTTTAGGATTCTTAGGGTCACTGAAATCTGTAGGATCTCTAGGATCTCTAGGATCTTTAGAATCTTTGGAAACATTCGGACCATTTGAATCTTTAGAATCCTTAGGAACTAAATAGAAAGAATCCTTTAGGGCCATTTGGATCTTTAGGGAATCTAGAGTCTGAATGTTTTTTTAAATCTTTAGGATCTTTAGGACCTTTAACGTCTTAGAGTTTAGGATCACTAAAATCTGTAGAATATTAATAACCTTTAGAATCATTAGGATCTTCTAGATCTTTATAATCCTTAGGAACTTTAAGTCTATTTGGATCTTTAGGGACTTTAGAACCTGTACAATCCGTAGAAACTCTAGTATCTTCAGAACCTTCAAAATTTTTAGAATCTTTCAAACCTTTAAAAGCAGTATAACCCTTGGGATCATTATAATCTTTAGGATTATTAGGACCACTAAAGTCTGTAGAATATTGATAACCTTTAGAATCTAGTTATAATCCTTAGGAACTTTAGGACTATTTGGATCTTTAGGACCACTAAAGTCTGTAGAATATTGATAACCTTTAGAATTTTTATAATCCTTAGGAACTTTAGGACTATTTGAATCTTTAGGGACTTCAGAATCTATACAATCCTTAGAAATTTTAGGATCTTTAGGAACTTCAAAATTTGTAGGATCTTTCAAACCTTTAAAAGCAGTAGAATTCTTAGGACCAAAAAAATCTATAGAATTTTGAGGACCTTTAGAATCTTTAGGATGTTTGGGAATTTTAGGATCTTTAGAATCTCTAGAATTCTTAGAACTTTTAGAATCTTTAGGACCATAAGAATCTTCAGAATTTTTAGGATCTTTCAGACCTTTAGCATCTTTAGAGTTCATAGAATCATATGAACCTTTAAAATGTTTAGGGTCTTTCAAAAATTGATTAGAAAATAGTTTACGGTTTTTAAGGGATTTTAGTGCTTTTTTCGTACCAAGGTCCTGTTGCATATAGCCAATAGCCTTGTCCAGTGAATTTAGAGCCCAATAAGCGCTGGAGAGGGCGGAGAAAACTGATCCTCTTAATTTTAGACTACAAGAGCCGATTGATAAGGCTGCTTCGAGGACTCCAGCTGCTGCTCTGTATTGACCGGCACCCAAAAGTTCTTGTCCAACCACTGAGATGACAACAAAAGGCGACTCGTCCAGTTTCATTGCTCGAAGCTGTTGAAACGTCGGTTCCAATGTAACACGAAGCGGTGATTTTAAGGAGGCTTCGACGAGGCCCGACAGCAATTGACAATTCGATGGATCCCTTGCCAATCCAACACTGAAAGCAACCAAGGCTTCTCCATGTCTTCCCAAGCACTGAAGAGCAACGCCTTGACGATAGTAAGCCTAAAGAATATCAATTAATTGATCAAATTAATTTTCCACTTCCGTAAAGAAAAAAAAACAAATTTTTATCTTCTCTCTAAGAAAACAATTTTTTTCCTCTGTCTAAAAAAACAATTTTTATCTTCTCTCTAAAAAAAAAAAGAAATAATAATTAGTTCTGTGTTGACCCTCAAGGAGTCAACATTTATAGAGAATAAATAAAATAAATAAAAATTTATTTATAGAGAATAAATAATAATTTTAAATATTTTTCAGGATTTGCTGAGCAACTGATGAAAATGGAGAGAGAAAAATTACCTTCGGCCATTCGGGACTCAATTCTGTGGCTCTAACTGCATCCTGTAGGGCCAAGGCGAACATTCCCATTTTGAGACGAGCCGCCGATCGATTTGAATAAAGAACATGACTGATGGGATCTAGGGCGAGAGCTTCTGTGTACAGAGTAGCAGCTAGAGCGTAATCTCCGTTTTGACATGCTGCATTGCTACGACGCACCGTCTCCAGGAATAAAACTCGAGATCCAGCGGCCAAGGCCGACGTACCTTCGGGCTCGACCTTTCGTGTAATTAATTAATAATTAATTTAAATGAAAAAAATTAATTACAATTATTCTATTACAAAAATTAAATACACCCAGAAAAAAGGTACATTTGACTCAGAGCCAACTATACTTTTTATTTGGTTTGAATAAAATTTTATTCGGTTCAAATAAAACTTTATTCTGTTCAAACAAAATTTTATTTGGATCAAACAAAATTTTATTTGTATCAAACAAAATTTTATTATGTTCAAACCAAATTTTATTCTATTCAAATAAGATTTTATTCTATTCAAATTAGATTTTATTTGGTTTAAATAAAATTTTCCTCTGGGTGTACAGTAAAAATGTTTACAAAATTTCAATAATACTTTCAATTGTAATTAAAAGAAAATTGTAATTTTTAATTGCAAATAATTAGAAATTGAAATTTAATATTTTTGAAGTAAACTCCATTTACAGATGAAGATGAAAATGTTTAAAATATGATTCGCTGTTATTTAGAAATTGTGGATTAATTATTTCCTTTAATTAGAATATTAAAATAAAAATTAAATTTGTCGAAAAAAATATTTTTCATTTTTAACTATAAAATTATTAAATTACTTTGAAATGGTGTAATTTTAACACCACTTAATTATAATTCAGATAGATTTTGAATTTTAATAAAGAAATTTTTAATTTTTTGACTAAATTTAAAAGAAATTAATTTCGGAATAAATAAAATTTTCCAGCGTTAAATGGAATTTGACTAATTTAATTATTTCATTAATTCAATTTTAAATTTTCTTGATAATACTTCTGGGAATTTATTTAATTGATTTAAAATTTTTAATAATTAATAATTTTCTTAATTTTTCTATTAAATGTTTTTAAATTTTTTAAATATTTAGTACCTACATTAATAAAATATTCATAAACTTCTGGTACAGTAATTTTTATTTAATAACTGAAAAGTTGAAAATTTGTTTTTGAAATTTGTAATTTTGTAATGAAGGGAATTTTCATTTTCTTGAATCACTCCGAAACTATAGTAAAATTATAATTTACTTTTAAACAAAGTAAATAATTGTAATAATGATAGGAAATAATTGAATAATTTAAAAAGTGAATATAAAAATATATGAAACGCCAAAAAGTAAAACCACAAATAAAATTTTGACACCAATTTTACTATCAGGATGGTCACAATATTACGTGTGGTTATATTTTGCAGCTGTTAGTATAAAAATATAAAATGTAAAAATACAAAATAAAAAATATAAAAATGCAAAATAGATGAAAAATATATAATCAAAAATAGAAAAAATATAAAAATACAAAATGTAAAAAATATAAAAGTATAAAATAGAAAAAATAAAAATGCAAAACATGAAAAATATAACAGTATAAAATATAAAAATATAAAATGAAAAATATAAAAATTATAAAAGTGCAAAATAAAAAATATAAAAGTAAAAAATTTAAAATATAAAAATGGAAAATATGAAAAATATAAATTATAAAAAATAAAAAAAAGTAATAAAAATATTAATTGGAGAAAAGAACTGATTTATAAAATAAATTTCAAAAAATAGTTTCTAGTGTCATTTATATAATGAAATTTGACGAATTTTATGAATTAGTATAAAAAAGAAATTTCTAATTTTATTGTTATTGAATAAAAGAAAATTTATTTACTCCAATTAATAATTAAAAAAAAATTAATGTCTGTCTCATTTTCGATAACTAAATATTTTTATTTAAAATATCAATTTTATAATGAATTTTTACGAATTTGATGAATTAGTATAGAAAAGAAATTTCTACTTTTATTATTATTGAATAAAATAAAATTTATTTACTCAAATTAATAATTAAAAAGAATTAATTTTTGACTATTTTTTCGATAACTTAATACTTTTATTTAAAATGTCAATATTATAATAAAATTTTATGAACATTTTGGAATTTAAAAAATATTTTTCATTTTGTACTTTCATAATGAGTAAAAAAGAAATTTCTATTTTCATTATTATTAAATAAAATATTTTTATTTAAAATGTCAATTTTATAATTAAATTTTTATGAATTTTTTGGAATTTTAAAACTATTTTTCATCTTCTACTTTTATAATGAATAAAAAAGAAATTTCTATTTTCATTATTATTGAATAAAATGAAATAAATTTACTTAAAATGAGATTAATTGTTCAAAAGAGAGGAGAGATTCTGTGTAATTATTATTGGAGCGTATCTTCACTGAGGTCAAGAATGTAAAAAAATAAAAATCACATAACTGTCTTCATCAATTAATGGAGATTTACTCTTAAATCCGTGATTCAAAATTATTCAAAAACACTAATTTTGCAAATAAAAAATTTACAATTCAATAATTTAAAAAGTTTAGAAATTAATATTTACAGTACTTGAAAAACTTTTGAATTGATACGATTTTTTTTTTTTATTATTTTCAGGTGCGGATATCCGTAACGGATTTTTCTCTCCTCACTTTGGTATCAAAAGAAAAATTGAATATTGACCGTTGGAAATAAATGGAGGGACACACAAAAAATAACCGGTGACAATTTACCTCAGATATATCCCTATGAGACATTGTTTAAAACGAGAAAGTAGCATGCTTTTCACTGGGCATCATCCGTTCCATTAGATAAAGATCCAAAGTTGGATCAGCGGAGAATTCTTCTTCTTCTTATTATTATTACTACTCGTTGATCTTCTAGCGCAACACACACACTACACAACACTTGACCGTTTTTCACTTGGACACTTGTTGTTTCTTCGTTTCTGTTTCTCACTCTCTCTTCTTCGTTTTTTCCGTTTTCTTTCTTTTCACGAAAAATCACACACCTGTGATTATTGACTAGCATTTAAAGCGATTAATTTCGCATGTTTCCGGGGGACCAAAAAAAAAAACACCAATAAAAAAAAGAGCAACAGGAATTTCCTTTTTTTTTTTTTATTTGAACAATGTGGAAAAATAACACGCGAGAAAATAATGGCGAAAATAGTCTAAAGGAGTTTGTTTTCAAAAGGTCGGATAAATTGGATTGATTAATAAAAAAGGAGGGAGGCAGGCGGTCTTAGGCACCCACTGCATTCCTGAGGCACGGCCATCTTGGAATGTGACCCCAGGTTCCCCCCGTGGGCCCAAGAGTGGGGACTAACATTGCGCACACAAATATAATACACAGACGTATAGGAGAAGGCATGAGGCCCCCAGCTTGTGACCCTCAGGGGCCCTCCAGACCCTCAACTATTTTTTTCATAAGGCCCATCTCTGAATTTCCGGTATTACCTTAACCCATTAGCGATACTCGAAATATTTGCCTCGAGAAAGAGAAAGAAAGAAAGAAAGAAAGGTGAAACGAATTTTCATTTTTACGAGAGGAGGAAGTTTTAATGTGGATGTGAATGAGAGAAATTTGCAGTTTGGTAATTTTTTTTACTTTCACCCGATCATATGTTAATTAACAAATTGAAATATTGCCCCGCTTGCAGGCTTGGAGAAATTCAGATGTATTGCATTTAATTTTTTCTTTTTTTCTTTAAAGTTTATTTTTAATTTGTTTTCTTAATCGATATGAGCGACAAATGTGGAGAATTTCTTTTTTAATTTATTTTTTCGACAATTATTTTTTTATATTTCTTAGAAATTTTTTTTAAAAAAAGGATGATAATTTTATTCTTTAATAATGAATAATTTAATAATTTTTATTTCCATGGAAATTTTATTCTTGAATAATTAAAATTATCTTTTTATGTTTCATAGAATTTTTTGTTAAGAAAGGATGGGAATTTTATTCTTTAATAATTAATAATTTGGTAATTTTTGTACCTATGGAAATTTTATTCTTTAAAATCTTTTTATATTTCAAAGAATTTTTTTTTAAGAAAAGGATTAGAATTTTATTCTTTATTAATTAATAATTTGATAATTTTTTTTCTATGAAAAATTGAAAATATTATTCTTTAATAATTAAATGATTTTTTATTTCTATGAAGATTTCATTCTTTGCAAAATTATCTTTTTATATTTCATAGAATTTCTTTTTAAGAAATGATGGGAATTTTATTCTTTACAAAATTATCTTTTTATATTTCAAAGAATTTTTTTTTTAAGAAAAGGATTAGAATTTTATTCTTAAAAAAATGAATTTTATTCTTTGATAATTAATAATTTGATAATTTTTTTTCTATAAAGATTTCATTCTTCAACAATTGATAATTTAAGAAATTGTATTTCTATGAAAATTTTGTGCTTTAATAATCAGTAATTCAATAATTTTTAATCTTTTGAAAATTGAAAAATTGAATAATAAATAATTATGTCCTGAATTTTACATAAAATTTTTAACTTAAACTTTTTATACACCGTAATAAGTGGTAAAGTTATCATTCAATATTTTATTCTCATCAAAAATATAGATTAAAAAGAAAAATAGTTTTACAATATTTCTAATTCGAATCATTAGAAATTATTTTTCAAAATAAATTCATTATAATTTGCTTAAAGCAATTTTTTGTCATAGAAATGTAAATCGGTTTAAAAAAATATATCCAATTCTAGAGGGGAATTATTTAGAAAACTTAATTTTTTATACAAACTTAGAAAATATATATTTTTTATTCTTGAAAGAAAAATATTTTTTGAGTCAATAGAAAATAGATGAGATTAGATTAGTAAAAAGGAAATATTTTTTGATAATAAGAAAAAATTGGTTTTTCCTAAAGTTATTTTTTCCAATTAAATTATAAAATGTTAATAATTTCATAAATATTAAACATAATAATTTCTTTTTTGGTTTTATGCGTATTTTTTTACTCACAGTTTCTATAGAAATTTAAAATTAAAAAATTGAATTTTTTATTAACTATTTGTAACAATTTTGAGAATTATTTATTTAAAATATATAATTTATTATTATTATTATTATTATTATTATTATTATTATTATTATTATTATTATTTTCAATTTTTTATTTCTTTTGAATAAAAGAAGATTTAAATTTCAAAAGAGGCGTTATTTCTAAAACGTACAGGAAAATTAAAAAAAGAAAGAAAATATTAATTATTTTTTAAATTTAAATTAACAAAGCAAAAAAATTATTTTTCGAAAAAATTTATTTTGAAAAGGCACGAAAATGATATAAAATAATTATTGTTTATTTGGGTATTTAATCTGACAAAGCAAAAAATAGTTAATTTCTCGTTTAGATTTATATTTTATTTATACTTTTGTTTTTTAATTTTCCATATTTTGGGGGGTATAATTAAATATTTAATGGAATAAAAAATAAATTAATCCAAAAATATATGTATTGAGAAATAACTTTAAATCTAAATCTAAAAATAATATCTAATAAAAATTATTACCAGTAATTTTAATATTTATAACAATTCAATAAATTTTGAATATTATTTATTTATTTAAATTACATAATTTATTATTTTTATTATTACTTTCTTTTAATTTTCTACTTCTTTAGAAAAAAAGGATTTTTATTTTAAAAAAAGTCATTATTTCTAAAACACAGAAAAATTGATAGAAGAAAGAAAATATTTTTGTTTGAATTTCATTTAAAAAAGCAAATAAAAATACTTTATTTTAAAAGTTAATTTGAAACCAAAAATTATCTCAACTAATTATCTTGTTTTAGAATTTAATCTTAAAAGAGCAAAACGAAAACATTATTTCTTTCCTTATTTTCCAGTTTTTTTTTTAAATATTTTTTCTTTCTCATTATTTAAAAAAAATTTTTTTTTGTAATTTCTTACTATTGTAAAAGAAAATTTTACATTATTGTGAAAAATTACGTGTGTATATTGAGATAAGCAAATTTTGTTTTTATACGTGTATTCCGCGAATATTATAAAGCTCATCTTTTGTGTCAGTTTAAAGTGAACGTCACAACGAAAAGGGTCGTCTCACATGGAAACAAGTTCTGAAATTGGAAAATGGATCCAGTCCAACTAGTACACGAATGTTTATTGTCCGATAGAAATAAAATTCCTGGCAATCCATTTATATTGCGACCATGGCTTTATGATAAATCATCGGCAAATTCAAACGGTGATAATGTTCGAATTAAAGGAATCGTTGCCGGTAAATATTTCTCTAACGTCAGTAAAAATATATTTTCATGTTACGTCATATTTCATAAAGATTTGTCGATTTTAATGTGCGCATGGCTATTCTCAAAAATGATAATACACAAAGAAAATTTCTTTTCGCAAAAATATTTAGAAATTAAATATATTTGTAATTAATAATTTTACTTTTGTAAATTCATGATTCTTCTTCCCTCAATAATATTTCGTCCTATATTTTTTTTCTTCCGTCTCTCTATAACAGTTTGATAATTTTACTCTAGATTCTCCAGAAAATTTCTATTTTCGAAATATTTTTTTCATTCTTGAAATTTTCTTTTTGGATTTTTAAATTTGTTCAAATTTTATATTCTCTTTTTTAATTTTTTGAATTGTGGTCTTTCTATTATTTGTCTATTTTGTTTCTACTTTGTTTCTTTTTACTATTTTGTTTTCTTTTTCCATTGTCTGGATTGTTGTTTCTTAACTGAAAATTGTTACTGACTGTGAAAGTTGATAATTCAGAAAATATTTCTTTCTTTTTGTTATCCAAAAAGAAGTAATTAATAATAATTGTTTGTTAATTTAGGTGGACTCACAGGTGGAATTGAAATGTGTATATCGTATCCGTTTAATTATGTCAAAATGCAATTGCAATTGGATGGAAAAGCCGGAGCGGGAAAACAATATTCTGGAATATGGGACGTTGTGAGAAAAACAGTAAAGAATCGTGGAATTTTGGGACTTTATCGTGGACTCACTGTTGTGATATCAGGTGCAGTTGCAAAAGTATCAGTACGTTTTGGTGCTTTTGAATCAATTAAAAAGCAATTTCATAATAGCGATGGGAAATTATCGCCGGAAAAACGTTTTTTCGCTGGACTCAGTGCTGGTTTATGTGAGGCGATACTCGTTGTAACTCCCGCCGATACAATTAATGTGAAAATTGTCAACGATCAACGATCGCCGAATCCGAGATTTCGAGGAACAATTCACGGTGTTAGAACTATTATTCAAGAAAATGGTAATACGAAGAAATAATTGTAAATTGTAACTCAGTATTTTTAATTACTAATTTTGTTCTTTTTGCCCTTTTTTTCTTTTTCTTCGAAAACAAAAGGTCTTAAGGGAGTTTATCAAGGGCTCGGACCAACAATGATAAAACAAGGGAGCAATCAAGCGATTCGTTTTTTCGTGGTGGAAACACTGAAAGATTGGTACAGTGGAGATGACAAGAGTAAAGTCGTTCCCAAACCGATCGTTGGACTTTTCGGTGCATTTGCTGGTGGGGTTTCAGTTTTAGGAAACACTCCAATAGACGTTATAAAAACGAGAATGCAGGTAGCTGTAAATTTTAATTCAAAAATTGTCAATTTTATTTAATTTGTTTTTTAATTTTTAAATTTCCAATCGAAAACCGGGAAAATAATTTCAATTTTTCAATTTTTAAGGGTCTGGAAGCGGCGAAATATAAAAATTCACGTGATTGCGCTGTTCAAATGTGGCGAATTGAAGGACCACGGGCATTTTATAAAGGAACAATACCAAGAATCAGCAGAGTTTGTTTAGAAGTTTCCATAACGTTTATGATTTACGATACACTTTTTGATATATTTAATGTAATGTGGCCTTGAGAAATTTATTCACGTGAAATTTTCTAATCAAAAAGGGAGAGAAACTAAAAAGGAAAAAAAAACCAAACAAGAAGAAAGTAGTAGCAAAAGATTAGATATTGAAATTTTATATATATAGTTTGCAAATATCAGAATAAGTAGAGCAAACTATTTTTAAAAGGAATTTTTTTTAATTTTGAAAATGGAAGAAGAATTTTATATTAATAGAATTTAAAAAAAATACCTTTTGTATATAATGTATTTTTGTAGAGAAGGTACAATTTTTATAATAGGGGAAATATTTATTAACTTTTATAGAAGAAAAATTGTGATGAGATTTTATTCTCTCTCTAGTCAAAATTTCATTCGATTTCGAATGATTAGTATTAATGGATTATTATTTATTATTATTGTTAACATTACTATCATTATTATTAATATTAATATTATTATTAATATTAAAATCGTTATTACAATATTAAAAGCATTATTATAATATTAATACCATTATTTTAATATTAATATCATTATATTATAATATTAAAGAAAATTGATTTATTTTTGTGGCAAGGGGAATAAAATGTTTCGTAGAATTTTTATTTCTGTGATCATTCCAAAGAAACAAAGAAGAGAGCAATTTTTACTTAGTCTTTTTACTTGCGAAAGCCACAGTTGTGATTTAAACACTTAATAATTAATAATCTCTCTGTAATATGTAATTCGCATCTAGATAATTTCTAAAACTATCAATAATTTTATCCCTTTTGTGAAAAATTTTCATTATAAATTAAATTACGTTACACACGTTAAATTGAGTTATAATTTTGTACCCTGTGTCATGTTAGAATTTTTCCCAAACAGAATATCAATTAGTAAGAAATATTTTTTATAATAAATTATATTTTCCGTTTTAATATTTAAATATTTAATAATTATGATCTTTTCTTATGAGGGAAGTGGAAAATTTTATCTTCTGATTTAATTACATAACAATTATGATAATAAAAATAAATTAATAATTAATTTTTCAATTTAGTTTTAATATTTTTATTTATTTAGTAAATTATTATTTTTACTCGTTTCTCAAATATTTCGCATCTTTAAAATTTAAATAGAATAGAACTTGAGAATGATTTTCGTGTTTCTAAAAATAAATTACGCATGGTTTAAAAATAAAAAAAGTAAAAAATATACAAAAATTTCAGTTTCCTTAAAATTTTGTACTCATAAAAATACAATTTTAAATACATCTGTATTTATTTATTTTTACATACGAAAAATATTGTTTAACTTATAATAATTAAAATTATAAAAAAGAGGAATGGATGGAAAAAAAAATTCATAAATCACACAAATTGATATATATTTTTTCTTCTGAAATTAAAATAATAAATTATAATCTATTTAACAACGGTGATAACAATTTTAGTAGTACACAATTCTATTAATCTGTCCTCACATATAAACAAAGATTCGATTTAACGGAATTCAATATTGGAGTATAAAATATTTTCTATATTATTAATAAAAAACTTTAAATTGGAATGATCGTTGGAATGAACGTTGTAAGAAACAATTCATTGTACAATAAATAATCATGCGTGTAATAATTTTTCAACAAAAAATTATGATAAAACTTTTCAATTCTTTTTGAATGCAAATGCCTTCGGTTTTTTTTCTAAAAAAAAACCATATAAATATCTAGAATAACAGTTTGTGACGATTTTTCTATAATACATTGCGATTAATTAAAAATTAATAATAAATATTCGTTGACAATTGAAAATAAATTGTTTTAAAAATGTAGGTAAATATTTACAATTTTAATTAATTAATTAACTAATATACAATTCTTCCTCTCTGAGGAATTAATTATAATTAATAATTATTATAATTATAATTATTTGATTATTAGTTCATTTAATTAATAGAAATATTAATTATTAATTAATTATTATTGTGAATAGTACAAAAAAAAAGACGAAACAGGAATTGCAAAAACCAAAGGCAGAATTTAAAAATTTTTAGTCGGTTAATATATAGAGAGTGAAAATAGTAGAAATTGTTAGTCCTGCAAAGCGTGAAAAAAATATTTTCGCACTCTTTTTTTATAATGACGATACAATAGTATCGTGATTATCTATATACACGCTATTATCTGACCTTTGTAATTTTGGCACAGTGCCGACAATTTTTCGTTGAATTTTATTATTTCTTTGTTTTAAAAAATGGAAAATTTTCAAAATAGTTCGAAAAAATGGAAAATTATGTTTGACCAATTTTTTTTTTTGTTCTTTTTTCATTTGTGCGAATTTGAAAATTTTCTTTTTTTCCAATTTCATAAATCAGTCCTTTGTATTTTTATTTTCATTTTCTTTTTTAGTTTAACGAACCTGAATATCAGGAAAAAATTGCACTTTTGTCTGGATTCTGTATTCGGTTAACAAATTTGCAGTGTTAACGTTTTCTCTTTCTTTTTCTTTTTTTTTAGACAAATAGTTAAGGCATAAATTTGTTTTTTAAGGCCAAACTTTGTTGAAGAGATCCATAAACGAATCGTAAATCATGAATGTAATTGCAACGTCTAGACAAACACGACCGAGCCTGGGAACGGTTCCTTTATAGAAGGCCATTGGTCCTTCTTTCTTCCAAATTTGTACTGTACAATCCCAACTGTTTTTGTATTTCGACGCTTCCAAACCCTGTAAACAAAAAATGTACCATTTACATTTTTTTATATTTAAATGTAAAGAGAAATAATTTTTTTTTGAGTTCGTTTTTTTAAACAAAATTTTTTTCGCAGAAGAAACTTACCTGCATTCTCGTTTTTACAACGTCGATAGGAGTGTTTCCAAAGACAGAAGCAGCGCCAGCAATTGCTCCAAAGACACCGACAACGAGTTTTGGGACTGGTTTACTCTTGTCATCGCCTTTGTACCATTCCTTCAATGTTTCGACAGTGAAAAATCGAATCGCTTGATTACTTCCTTGCTTAAGCATTGTTGGTACCAAACCCTGGTATACTCCTTTGAAACCTACAAAATGAGTTCGAGTTATTATCCAAGTAATTTTTTAATTATAGACGAATTTCTACTACTGAGAGAAATTAATTTCAATTATGATCCACAAGTTTTGAATCGTTCAAATGAAGGAAATATTTTTTATTGAAAATATTTTCATAATTCATCGATTGCAATAAAAGTTAAAAAAATTTAAATTTAGAAACTTCATTAGTAATTTAAAAAATGTTTAAACTATTAAATTTTGAACGAAAGGAAAAATAGTTGTAATAGAAATTTAATTTCAAAAAGAAATTAATTTTAAAACTATTTTCAAAATTAAATTTTGTACGAAACGCAATATAATTGTAATTAAAATTTAATTTCAAGAAGAAATAATTGGTTAATTGATTAATTTCGTTAATTTGAACGCACAGAACTTTAGGATCATTTTTAATTCGAAATATTGAAAGAAAAAATAATATTAAAATAGAATTCTTTCTTCTTTCAGAAAAGATGAATTTTGCAGAAAGAAATTTTACCATTTTCACGAAGAATAATACCGACACCGTGAACAAAACCTCGGAATCTTGGATTCGCTGATCTTTGATCATTGATAAATTTTACTTTAACCGTTTCCATGGGTGTTACGGCAAAAATAGCTTCGCAAATTCCTGCGCTGAGGCCAGCTAAAAGACGTTTCTGTGCAGTGAGTTGTCCATTTTCATCAACAATTTGCTGTTTAACACTTTCAAATGCTCCAAAACGAACAGCAGATTTGGGAATAGAGCCATAGAGTAAAACAGATAGGCCACGATAAAGTCCAAAGAAACCACGATTTTTCACTGTTTTCGTAACGCAATCCCATATTCCTGAATACTCCTTTCCAGCGCCTGCCTTACCATCCAATTGTAATTGTGTTTTCACATATTCAGTTGGATATGTTATGCAAATTTCAATTCCACCCGTTATTCCACCTAAAATTTTACGAAACAAAATTTTTAGTTTCAATTTTTCAGAGTTGACACAAAAATTTATTTTTGTTTTTCCCTGATTTCCAGACAAAATTCTGACTTTTTCCCTGACGCTAGAGAATATTCTGATTAACTCTAAAAATAATTAGAAATTAAAATTCTTCAGAATATTCAAATTTGTTTACAATTCAATTTTACGAACTTTCGATTATTCGGAAATTCTTCAATTAAATAAATATTAGGAAATAGAAACTCCAACTAATTTCAGAAAAAAATTTAATTTTTAATAATTGAATTTCTTCGAAGAATTTTACTATTTATGTTAATAATTGAATTAATTAATTCTTGACAAGAAGTTTATTAAAATTTCAGAAAATAATTGAATTTTTGAGAAGAATTTTACTATTTATTAAAATAATTGAAATCTTACGAGGAAATTTATTATTTCTTAAAATAATTGAATTCCTTCGAAAAATTATAGTATTTATGAAAAAAAATTAATTTATGCATTTAATTTTATTGGACAAATTCTGGAAAATTATTAGAATTTCTACGAAAAATGTTGTTATTTATGAAAGTAATTGAACTCTTAGAAAAAAAATTTAATTAAAATCTTTAAAAACAATTAAAGCTCTGCAAAGAATTAGGTATATTATTTATGTTGATTTAATTGTTTTCAAAGATTTTAATAAAATTTTTTCCTGCGAATTCAATCCTGCAAAAAATTTTATTATTTATGAAAATAATTTAATTCTTGCGAAAGAATTTTATTAAAATTTTCGAAAATAATTGAATTTTGGAGAAGAATTTTATTATTTATAAAAATAATTGAAATTATGACGAAAATTGGAAAAAGAAATTTGGAACATAATTGAATTTCTGCAAAGAATTTTTTTTTGCTTTTGAAAATAATTGAATTTTTGCAATAATTTTGTAAGTTCTCCTAAAATTCAAATTTTTTTTAGTGTTTTTAACTAAATTTCTGCTACTAAATTCATTATTTTTAATAGTTAATTAAACGTATACTAATAATTTAACTTATTTCCAAAGAATTTGAATTATTATAATTTTTTTAAAATATTGATTGATTTTTATAATTTAAAAACCTGGTGTGTGTGTGTACAGAACATTTTTTAGCCTACTTTTATAATTTATAAATAGAAATATATCGTTGTTTCTGAAAATATTCCAGAAAACGTGTGCCACACACCGACGAAAGTGCTCTTAAAAAAATTGATTAAAATTAATGTGTAAATTCCAGTCAAGAAGTTTGTCTCTTATACGTTCTCTAATAATAGACCGAAATCCTTGATCTCGAATAAATAAACTCAAGATAACATAAATTAATTTTTCGTCTTCTTGAAAATTTGAAAAAACTCCGATTTTCCAAACTTTGGAGTTTACAAAAAAAATATCACAAATAACTAAAATTGTATTTTTACTGTATTATAATATTTAATTAGAACATTATATTCATTAAATCTCGTTTATTAAAAGAATAATTGTTTTATCATAGGAAAATTATTTTAAATTCTAATTTTTCCTTTATATAAAAAAAAATTGTAGTATTGTTGCTCCGAAAATTGTGTCAAGAGTATTATCGAATCTAAAATATGTGATTATGTTAGAATTGTCAACTTTGGACTTTTAACTTTTGTCAAGTAAATCTAATTTGCAATAATAATTATAAAAACGGAAATCCGGTGTTAAAGCTGGAGGAGAAAATTTAAGGGTTATGTCATAATGAAAAATTTTGAAATCCATTTTTTTTATCAACTCCAGTGTTATCAGTACGTAAGAGGTCAGCAAAATTGATAAATATTGCATGAAATTTAATGTAATGGTTAAATTTGATAAATTAATTGGATTAATTTGCCTAAATCGGAAATTTGTTTTCGTTTTTTGACATCTGTCATGCGCATGGTTTATTCTAACCTAATTTTCTTTTTTAAAACACGAGGTCACTGTCAAGGTTATTATCCAGAATTTTTAATTTACTATTGAGTAATTTTTTTATTGTAAAAATAATATTTAGAGAGAAAAAGATAGAGAAAGAAAGAAAGAGAGAGAGGCAGAGAGAAATTTACCAGCAATGATTCCTTTAACTCCTATATTTCCACTGGGTGTTGCCGCCAGGGCTTTATCCTCTAGCCAGGGTCTTGTAATAAAAGGATTTCCAGGAAGTACTCGTTTTTTTGATAATAAACACTCGCGAACTAGTGAAATTGAATCCATTTTTTTTTTTACTACGTTGATTATTATTGATTTACCGGCGAGAAGCTTTCCCTCAAACCGCTCGTTTCGAACTAAAATCCCAACACACACAGTGTGTCTGTTTGGAGAATCGTGTGTCTTGAAAGACTCTTGTGAATAGAGCGATGTGTCCCCTACCGTAATTTCCTCTTTTATTATCAACAGTTGCCTGCAGTTGCCTTAATACTGTTGACTATTCACAAGCTCTCTTCGGTCTCGCGGGGTCAAGGAATCCGTACCATTCACAAATTTAAACGAGAATCTTTATAACAAAAGTGCAGCAAAAAAGAAAAAGAAATATTCACTTTTTCTTTGAAAATTAAATTTATTTCCTGAATATCGTAAATATAATCTAGTGTGTGAAAAATGTTCTCATTTTCTCTCTCCTTTTTTATTGTTGCCCTATTTTTATTTAATATAATTTTTTACTAAATTTTCTATTTTCTATTTTCTTTTTTAAGAATTTTAATTGTAAAAATATTTTTTACACTCCATATATCGTTTATTTTTTATTATTAAAAATAATCTTTTTCGTATTCCTCGGTGTCTGAATATAGACCCTAAATTTTAATTTACTTTACTCATCAAAAATGAGGTTTGTTTTCTATTGAATTTTTACTAAATTATTAGTCTAATAGAGTAAAGATTAGTTCTTGTCTAATAATTAGAAAAACAAGAAATACAGGTTTTATTCTTCTCATTGAAAAGAATAATTAAAAAATTTCCATGCAGTGTTAGTTGAAGATGATTTATTTCCAAATGACTTTCTTTACATAAAAAATGTTAGTTATACTTACACAAAAGGTACAAACTTACAATTTTCTATTATAAATCAATAGATAATTGTTGTGACGAAGTAAATTTTACGTGAACTTAATTATTGAAATTTATTTAAATGTATCTTTTTTTTTACCATACTGGAGTGGTATTGGCCAATCGTCTCATTCGTCTGTGAAAAAAAATTTCGTAATATTAGTAAAAAATGGAAAAATAAAAAAAGGAGAAAAATAATTAAAAAAAAATAGTAAATTATCTAAAAATGGAATTTTTTGATTTAATGTTTAGGTATTTTTATTTTTTATTCATCTCACCGAGTATTTCGATCTTGGTCCCGTATTTTCTTCTCCATTTCTGCATCCGTTAGGGTCTCCAGGAATGGAGCCCATTGATCAGCTTCCGATGGTGATCTAAAGGGAACTTCAACTGTAGGTAGTGGAGCTTCCGAAAATGCGTATGTCCTCTGGTGCCAGGATAATTGTCCCCGTACGCTGCAAATGAATTTTTCGTTTTTGAAAAACAATTTATTTTAAAACAATTATATTTTTCTGCTACAAAACGAAAATAATATTTCTATTTGTTACGAAATTAATAATTTTCAACTACAAAAAGCAAATATTAATTTATATATAATTTTATTTTAATAAATAATATAATTTATAATATAATTTAATAAATAATATAATTTTAATTTATATATAATTATAATATTATTTATTTTACGTAGTAAAAATATTAATATTAATATTAATATTATTAATATATTATTATATTATTATATTATATTATTAATATTAATATTATTAATATTAATATTAATAAATAATATTTTGTTTTACGAAGAAAGAAAAATTAATATTTTTCTACTACGAAAAACAATTTTCTTTTATATTAAAAGATGTATTTTTGTTGTCAACCAGAATTATTTCTAGTGAAAATAATGTAGAAAAGTCCTAATATTTCTTTTTCAAGGTGAAAAGAAAATTAATATTTTTCTCCTACGAAAAACAAATAATATCTCTTTTACAAAAAAAAATTAAAAATTAATTAATTAATTAAATTAAAAAAAAAATTAATATTTTTCTACAAATATTAATAGAAAATTCTTTACTACCTGTAAGCGATGGCTGTGACGAATTCCCCTCCAAGTCCAAGTTCGGCACAAAGTTTCATTGCAAATTTCTCTGGATTATTCTCCCTCTCCGACATGTCCCATTCAACTTGATCGACTAACGATGTATTGCCCACGTGAATATTTAGTTTGATAATAACTCTCTGATCGCATTGATCCTCCAATATTATTTCCTGAGGAAAGGCGTCTATTTGTTGTCTAATCGCTTGAGCAATCGCCGGCACGAATGTCAATGGATTCAGGTCCAAATCGTCACACAAAACTTCAGCAAATTGTTCCGGTGTTATTAAACTTTCTGTTTTTCCAAAAGGAGAGAAAAAAAGATTGTTTTAATTTCCAGATTATAAAATTTACGCAATAAAAAGAAAATTTTTTTATTTTCTAGCAAAAATTCACCATTTTTATTCCACGTGAATGTGTCACGTAATTTTTGTCCCTCGATTTCCATATCCAAACGAATTGGAACGAGCATTTCCTGTTGGGCTGCATTCTCTAAATTAGCCGATGGATCTGTATCGTCAAAACTGTAGAGAAAAATTATGAATTTTTATATAATTTAGAAATATTTATTATATCATATTATGAGAGTATTTAATTTATTAAATAGATATTAAATATTAAATAGAGATCACAGACTATCTTCTCTTCACCTTTTCTAAATTTTGGCACCTACTTCACCTTTTAATTAATTTAATTAATTTAATTTTGACTATTTCACCCACTTTGTGAACTTCTTAATAATATTTTTAATCAAAACTAGTTTTTAAAATTTTGTAATTAATTTATGAATGATTTTTACGTAGATTATATTAAAATTATTGAAAATAATTGAATTTCTACGAAGAATTTTATTATTTTTGAAAATATTTGAATTCCTGCAAAGAATTTGGTTTTTTATGAAAATAATTGAATTCTCCCGAAGGAATTTATGAAAATTCTTGAAAATAATAGAATTTTTTTAAAACGTTAGGAAGTAAAAAAAAATAATTAATTGGTTAATTGTTCCTATTTATAATAATTTTTTTTGTCATCTATTTTAAGAAAATAATTCCCCTTTTCATCTATTTTAACGAAAAAAAATACTTCGATCCCTGATTAGATCGTTTCTAAAATATGGAACTCACCAAAGTGGAAAAGTGCGAACTTTTTTATTATGAACTCTATTGCGATTAATGGGTGTAGCTTGTGGTACTGCATCCAAATGTGAACTATTCGGTAAACTGGGAACCCATGCCATTGATTTTTTCGATTTTCCCTCACGTGGTGCTGGCGGTTCTGATGAATGAACCGAAACTGCTTTATATTTCTCATCATTTCCCTCGATAATATCCTCGACTTCGCTTGCTCTTAAAAGTGAAACACTCGAAGCCAGAACATGTTGACTTAAACCAAGTTCCACTAATTTCTTCCTCTCGTCATTTGTAATTGATCTTCTAAACATTCCAGGATAGCGTTTATATAATGAACCACGAAATAATCGTAGATAATTTCCCACTTCGGAACCAATGCAATAATATTCTCCATTTTCCTCGACTTGAAAACTAATTGGCTTGTCGCCATATGTTCGTAGAGCCATTTTTCTCCTGAAAATTTAATTAAACTGAAATTTTTATATTTAAAAAAATATTTGAGGAATTAATTATTAAAACGAAATCGTTATTGACGATAAAATAATAAAGTCATCATAAATAATAATCAACACAAATAGTAAAGAATCAGAATTTGTTATTTAAAATCGAATTCTTCCTAATTGCGAGACAATTGTTAATTATTAACCTTTATTGTTTTTTCAATATCTAGAAAACAAAATTCTTAGAAAATTGTATTGTGAGTGTATTTCAGATTAGAACAATGGTTAAATGGGTAACATTTCCGAAATATAAAATTGTGTAAACAATTAAGTTGAAGGCTCCAAAATGCCACTCAAATTAATATAATTTTATCATTTCATACGCAGAAATATATAAAATATACTTACAGATTTTTTTAATTACTCTTATAATATTTTTTTTCCAATGAGATATATTTTTTTTTGTCAATAATTAGAAAGATTCTGGAGCTTTTTTAATTAAACATAACCTCACTTCTGTCATTCGCCATTTTTACGTAAACTAATTCTTTCAGTATTGCCAACCTGAGAGAAATTATCAGTACTGCGCACGCTCTTTGGAAATTACCTCATTTGTCCAATTGAGCGCGCTTTTTTGAAAATTTTTCCCATTTTAAAAAAGCCCTCCCATTTCGACCAATCAGAATGTATTTCATTTTCACTGCGTCTATACGTCCGACTAGCCGGATAAAAAAATTTGTCCGGGTACTGTTAGCCGGACGCAATAAATTCGTCCGGATACTGTCTAGCCGGACGTTTTGCTGCATAACACAGCTGGGTCTAAACGTCCGGCTAGTAAAATACTAACTAAATAGCCGGTCAGCCGGATAAAATGTTTAGAGTCTAAAACGTCCCGATAAATTAATGAAAGAAATTTTATCTGTATATAGTAAAAATGAAACTGAAGTTAACAATGTTGATTCAACGAAAAAATGTTTCTCTGAAAAGTTCAGGATACAAATTTTTCTTAATAAAATTGTTCATGTAAACGATGGGGAAACATTAGTTCGTATTTTTTTGTGACGGATTTTCTAAAAATCACGAAATTTCAACTAAAACCAAAATTATTGTTTCTTTGCCTTGAAAGCAATTTTTTTCTTTTCACGATTATCTATTTTAATGTCAGAAACCATTTAGAAAAAATTTCAAGAGGATGTAAGGCAGGGAATGCAGTGAATTTGAATTTTTTTTTGTCACAGATTTGACGAAAATTCCGAAATTTCAAATAAGTTGTTAATTTATTTTAATTATTTAGTTTAATTAATTTTCTTGACTTGGAAGCAATTTTTTTCTTTTGATAATTATTTATTTTAATATCAGAAGCAATTTTAAAAAGATTTTAAGAGGATCTAAGGCGGGGAAAGCAGTGATTTTGTATTTTTTGTCGTAGATTTTCCAAAAATCCCGGAATTACAATTAAAAAACAAAAATCACTTCTTTTCCCGCCTTGAATCCTCTTGGACTTTTTTAAATGGCTTCTGACATTAATATGTTAAGTCTAAATGTAATAAAATATAATTTATTTAAATAAAATAATTTTTTTGAAGAAGAGTAATAGATAAATGTTACAGTTACTATAAAAGTTTAATCAAAATTATAATGTTGAATAATTTGAAACCCGTGTAATCCTGAAGAAGATGAAAATTCAACTGGTAAAATTGTTATATATTCTATATTATCTAGTTGTCATTTATTCAAATGCTGAATTTTTCAAAAGGTAACTTATTAAAATATTTATGTTATGCAAAACTTTATTTTCTCGAACCATTATTAACTCAAATTACCATAAAATATATTTTTTAATGTTTATAAAAATGTCATATGACATAATGTTTACTGTAACAAATGTTAATTGCAAATAATTTTTTTATACTCGAATTACCACTTTTACAATGTTAAAAAATCCAAATGGAGTTTTAATCTAAAAAAATTGACTACCAATTATTATTACAATAATTGACTACAATATTTTATAATGAAGAATAGTCAATTCTTTAACATTGTAAAATTGGTTATTCGAGTATAAAAACATTATTTGCAATTAACATTTGCTACAGTAAACATTCTGTCAAATGACATTTATAAAATAATATTAAAAAATATATTTTATGGACATTTGAGTTCATAAATGTTCGAGAAAATAAAGTTTTGCATATCATAAATATTTTAATAACTTATCTTTTGAAAAATTCAGCATTTGAATAAATGAATAAATTTCAAATTATTCAACATTATAATTTTGATTAAACTTTTATAGTAACTGTAACATTTATATAGAACTATTACTCTTCTTCAAAAAAATTATTTTATTTAAGGGTTAACACCACTCTAGAGGCAGAAAAGAAGACCAATTTTTGATGATTTGTTTTGGGAAAATGAAAAAAGGAATAGGTTTTCTTTTTGGAGGGTTTGTTAAATACATATTGAAGTGTAGAAAAAAATTTTTATTTTAAATTTTATAACAAAATGGCGACGATAAATTTTATAGTAACAATCGACTAATCTTTTTCTTAACAAAACGTCCAGAAAGAGTTTTTGAAAAGTTCAAGTCCTGGAACAGAAAACAAAGAAATTTCATGATGTATATAATATACACGGAGAAAAATATAAAATAACTTTTACTACTTTTATAGAAAAAAATTTCCGGTAAATTTTTTACTATAAAAGTAGTAAAAGTTATTTTATATTTTTCTCCATGTAAACTTTGGAAGTGCATAAGGGTTTTTTATATATCAATTTTTGTAAAAATCGCGCACTTTTGGGTACAATAATCGATTTTTTGCCAAAGAGTAATAAAAAGTAAATTGTTTATAAAAAATAAAGTTTACATCAAATTAAAAAATCTGTATGTAGTTCCAAAGTTTATAGTATTTAGTTTGTAAAATTTCTTTACTTTTTGTTCCAGGACTTAAACTTTTCAAGAAACCTTTCCGGCCATAAAAAATAGTCGATTTTGAATATGAAATTTACCGCCGCCATTTTGTTATATAATTTTAAAAAAAAATTTCCACACTTCAATATGTATAATTAATAAATCCTCCAAAAAGAAATCCAATTCTATTTTTCATTTTCTCAAAATAAATCATCAAAAATATAGGTCTCTTTTTCTGGCTCTAGAATGGTGTTACCCTTAAATAAATTATATTATTCAGTAAATGCGAATCGGATAATTTGCTTATTTGCTGAAAAATAAATTCTATGATAAACTCACTTCATTAACATTTAAAACTTTTTAAATGGATAAAACTACGATTAGAACTTTTTAAATTCCGGAAATACACAGGCGTCCCAAAATATTTTTGTGAACAATAATTTTTTTAAGACTTACAATCTTTAAAAAATATTGTATTCTTAATTTATAGACATTTTTTAAATAAATAAATAAAAAAAAGATATATACATAAATAAATGTTAGTCTTCTATTTACATTATTTATTTAACAAATATGTGTTTGTAAACTCTGCATAGAATATATTTTGATGTTTATTTATCTGAAAAAAATTTATTATAAAATATTTTTTGTAAATATTTATAAAAAACCAAAAAATTAACGGAGTGTCTATTTGGCCCGTCAGCGGGCCAAATAAGTTACTACTTTTATTATTTGGCCCGTCACCCCAGTTCCATACATTTCAAGACGGGCCAAATAAAAAAAGTAGTTTATTTGGCCCGTCAGATAACAAATTAGCTGTAATTAATAACAATAGATTATTATTATTACTATTTTTACAAATAGATTAATTTAATCACCAGGTACTATTTTTTACATGAATTTGACAGGTAATGTAATAAGAAAATTCTTCTTAAAAATTTTAATAAAATTCTTTGAAACGATTGAATTATTTTTAAAAAACAAACGAATTTTTCACAAAAAAATAAATTATTTTAGCAAATAATCAAATTCTCTAAAACTCAATTAGTTTAAAAATCTACTATTTTAATACAATTTCACGAAAGAATTTAATATTATTTATAAACAAAATTTTGATAAAATTCTACGTGAGGTGAGAATTCAATTATTTTCATAAATAAATACATTTTTCGCAAGAGTTCAATTATTTTTATAAAGAAAAAAATTATTTTCAGAAATTCAGTTATTTTAAAAAATTTAAATAAAATCCTTCTCAAACATTGAATTATTTTTATAAATATTAAAATTTTCACAGCAATTATAACTCTAAAAAAATTTTATAAAGTCCTTTGGAAGAATTCATAAACAAAATTTTAAGAAATAATTAAATTAAAAAAAATCGCACAAATCCAAGACTTTCTCATTTTTTTATGAGAATGTAAAAATTGTATACTTCGGAAATTTTCATTATTGTAAAAATAATATTTTAATTTTTATATTTTTAAAAAGTTAAATTTTAGAATAATTACAGTTAAAGTGAGAAAAAGTGAAATTATTGAAAAAGTAAATAAGTATTTAAATATTTATTTAACTATGAATAAAAATTAGCCTTTTCAAGAAAAGCAATTGAAATTTTTTTTAGTTAAATTCCCGTAAATAATTTTAAAAAATGAAATTGGAAATTGGAAATTTTCATTGATATTTTATGATTTATGATTCATTTATATTTTAAAGAATTTTATTGTTTACTTTTAAAAATTATTTTTAAATATAATTTATAATATTATGTACTAAATATGTTTATAATTTGCATCTTTACTTTGAGGTTAAAATATACATTACCTGCATGTCAAATTCATGTAAAAAATAGTACCTGGTGATTAAATTAATCTATTTGTAAAAATAGTAATAATAATAATCTATTGTTATTAATTACAGCTAATTTGTTATCTGACGGGCCAAATAAACTACTTTTTTTATTTGGCCCGTGTTGAAATGTATGGAACTGGGGTGACGGTCCAAATAATAAAAGTAACTTATTTGGCCCGCTGACGGGCCAAACAGACACTCCGAAAAATTAATATAATAATTATAGAATGACAATAATTATAATTGTTATTACTATTATTATGCATATTATGTTTTCGCATTTAGTTATCAAATTAATTTTATAATTCATAACCTAAAAATGTCAAAAACATTCAAGGAATATATTATACTTGTAAAAATCTAATAGACGGACGAATTATAAAGTTCATTATTTTATCCGGATACTGTCAAACGCTTATCACCAGTACATACAGTAAATAGCCGGATGAAATATTTTGGGAGCTATATGTCCGTATATCCGGACGTTTAGACGAAATATTTCGTCCGACTAGCCGGACGTATAGACACTTCGTTTCATTTTACTAGAGTTGGTATCACTCACATTGCATTGTCGCCAACTAAATTACAGTAAAAATAATAATTTTCGATTTAAAAGCAGATAAAAAGAGAAAATATTTTAGAAAGTATTTGCAAATTTTTTATTTAGATTAAAAGAGCAAAAAAAAAAAAAAAGAAAAAAAACACACAGTATAATTTAAAAATCACCGAAAATAGGAATGAATTTATTTACTTTCTCTTTTTTGGACGTTGTTCGCCAATCTACGCATTATCTTTTCGTGTTAACGTTCAAAAATAAATTTGTGTGACTAATATCGATTTTGATATTAAAATATTGAATAATGTAATCAATTGTATTTTACAAAATATTTTTTGTGTTTGTGACAATTTCGAGCTGCAAAATAGTGACGAGAAATGTAAGTATTTTTTTATAGGTTATGTTTAACAATTCGTGACATTAGTGACAGTAATTGTTGTAAAAAACAACTAATTCTTTATTTCCAATTGTCAAATATTAACGGATTTTTCTTGAACGTTTCCTTGATTAATTTTTTATACCTTTTTTTCAGAAATTCGATTGTGACAGCAAAAATGTGTGACGTAAAAAATGTTGAAATAACGAAAAACTTTTTCAAATTCTACGAATTCGAATCATCAAAGAATAATGATGAATTTAATGCAAAAAAAGGGAGTTTTTCCACAACTCGAAAATGTCGTGACAAAAAGACACGAAAAACATACGCCGCTAAAATAATCAGCCAAGACGATAATTATCAAGAGGAATTATATTTTTTACAAAAAGCTCAAGGTCATCCAAATATTGTTGAATTTATAGGAGAATTTATGAACAGAGATAAAATATATTTTGTAATGGAATTATTAACTGGTGGAGATTTATTCGATGTATTGAATGAGCCATTTAGTGAGGAATGTTCGAGGAATATAATTAAACAAATTAGCTCGGCTGTGGATTATTTACATTGTAAAAATATCATTCATCGTGATATTAAACCAGAGAATTTAATATTTAAAAATTCCGGAAATGTCGAATCTATAAAGATAATTGATTTTGGTTTATCGTTGGAGAAAAGAGATTGTCATTCGATGAAATATAAATTTTTCTCTCTTCCCTACACTGCTCCGGAAATTGTTGCCTTGGAAAAATATAATGAGAGTTGTGATCTCTGGAGTATTGGTGCAATTTTGTATTTTTTGTTAACTGTCAAAGAAGCTTTTCCCTATACGGAATCTGTGAGGGCTGCACTTGAGATTAAATCGGGAAGGAGTAAATATAATGAGGATCTTATTTGCCACGTTTCCGAGAATTGTAAGTTTTTTTTATGTTAAATAAATATTTTATTTTTATGTTATAATTATAACTGCGAAAAAAGGTATTCAACTAAGAAGCAAATGACTTTAAGGTTATATTTTTATTATTTTTACTCCAATTTTTTAATAGACGTCACTATTTGCTGATAAAGTCGAAATCTTTCTTCGTAATTCAAAATTAATATTTTAATAAAAAACAAAGTTTTATAAATTGTTTTCAAAAATCGTTTCTTATGTTTTTTGAGGCAAACGGGTAATAAAATGTTTACTGACTGCAAATCCAGGAGAAAGATTAACAGCCGAAGAACTCGTTAATCATTCATGGTTAACGAAAAATTAGCATTTGAGTGGTAAAAATATCGATTTAAATTTTCCTCGTCAATCTAGAACAAAAATGGCGAACTAAAAATTTCCTAAAATTTTATAAAAAAAATAATCTTCAAATTAATAAAAAAAAACAAAAATTTTCTCGCATTTACTCAATTTCTCTGATTTCTCTGTTATTACATCCATCCAGTGAAATTTTTCCCCTTAGTAGAAAATAAATAATTTATTAAACATTTTTAAAGAAAAAAACAATCTTGGTATCTAGGGATTTTTGATATTTCGAAGTGGGGAAAAATTTGACATTTGGCAACAGTGGTAAAAAGGAAGCCGGCGTCCGGCGTCATTTCTTTTTCCGTTACTCGTGTTGGAGAGAGATTCAAGCAGAGAATATTTAGAGAGACAATCCCCGGTGCGCGTTCTAACCCGACTGAAAAAAGTGTGACGCGGTGTCTTTTTAATTTCGCCTAGTGAACTAGTGAATGATCGTTCTGTTTGTTTTTAAAAAAAAAGTGATCGGCGTCAAATAATATTCAACTCTTTCAATTAAAAGTGATTTTTAAACTAGTTGGAAAAAGGAGAGAAAAATGTCAACTAAAGCAAGTAAAAAGACAGCGGCAACTTCGTCGTCGAGCGCTAGCTCACAGCAAACGCCCATGCCGAGTACATCGACGCCAATTGGTACACGACGTCCAGGAAGTCCTCTAAGTCCAACTCGTTACTCGAGACTTCAAGAGAAACAGGATCTACAGAATCTCAATGATCGTCTTGCCTGTTATATTGATAAGGTCCGTTATCTCGAGACCGAAAACACCCGGCTCACGCGTGAAGTTCAAACATCTCAGGAAACAGTAACGCGGGAAGTTTCCAATATTAAATCTATGTACGAGCATGAATTATCGGATGCGAGGAAATTATTAGACGACACTGCTAGAGAAAGAGCAAAACTCGAAATTGACACCAAACGTCTTTGGGACGATAACGAGGATCTCAAGTCTAAGTGAGTTTTTAAATTAATAAAATTAGACTTCCTTATAAATTATTTAACTTCATAGTTTAGTTTCTATCTATTAAATAAAAACTGAGTATTTTCTTCCTTTGTAGGAATTAGAAATCACCTTTTCAATTCATAATTTGAATATGTGACAAATTCGTTTTTCGTTTAACAAATGTTTATTCTTGTGATTCTTGTAAACTAAGATTTTGATGAATTTGCTATTTAATTTTCAAAAGCACTGTAGCACCGTCAATTCTATATTTAGTTGAAATGAAAATGATTCATCGACCAATGTATATTTCTCTCCTGACAAAATGAAAACGAATTTTTCATATTTTCAACTTTGTTTATATTTCCAGTTTTCTTTTAAAGAGACGAGGTCAAATTTTCGCATTTGTTTGTAAACAAAAAAAATTTGTTGATGCGAGTACTTTTTCAAATATTGTTCGTACAATAATTTGTAGGTACAATTTTTATAAAAGTTATAACAAATTTTTTCTTTACCGAATTTTTAGTAAAAGCTCTTTTATTAATTTTTGTATGTTTAAGACGAATTCGTCTTTAACAGAGTTCGAATTGTTTACTATTTATTTGGAATTGTTATTCCAAAGTCAAGGTCTCAATTGTGGAAAAATAGTAAAAGTTTTTGTGACATTACTCTTATCAAAATACAAATACGATAAAACGTGTCAATGAATATGAAAAAAATATAAATTTCATTCAGAAGAAATGTTGTCAAATTTTTTTTCTTGAAAAATTCTGTTATCTGACAGGAAATCTGAAAATTTTCCAGGAGAAAACTACTTTTTATATTGTAGTAATTTTTGAAAGGAATGTTAATGACTGAGACAATTAGTCGTAAGCATTCGCTTTTATCTTTTCGTATTAAGTTTTATGTTTGTGCAATTGAACAATAAATAGAAATTCAAGTAGGTCAAGTGAACAGGTAGAGTCCTAGTTTTTGTTTAAAGGATTAGCAACACAAAATTAATTCCAGTCGGATCGATAATGTTTCTTGTGTCCTGACCGACTATAAAGAGAAAGGAAATTATCTCCTTATTATCTTTTTCAAAATTTTTTAATTTCTAAATTTGCTTTTAAATTTATTAATTTAATTACTAACACAACTAATTTTTATTATTTTTACACAGGTATTTAATTACTAATTCACTTAATTAATAAATTCTATTTAATTGCATTTAATAGACGAATAAATTAAATTTATATTCATTTAGTAAATTAATAAATCTAATCACAACTTGTAAATTTTATTTTATTGCTAATTTAATAAAAATTTTAATTGATTTTAAATATTGACCGTAGACTCGACATGAAATATTCGTGTTTGCCCTGCGTAGGAAGAGGAACAAAGGAGAAAGTTTACAATGCATTATAAATTTGAAGGTGTCACATGATCGATCATTTTTTTTTGATATTTTTCTTTCTCTAAAATGTGAATTATTTTTAATCGAATAATGTTTACATAAAAATCTTAATATTGACAATGATTCACTTATCTTATCTGTGGATTTTTTTCACTTGTTATGATTCTACAAAAAAGTATTTTGAGAAAAAAATAGTTACAGTGTGATCAGTAAATACATGGGGAGAGAGTTAATTTTGGAAATGATTAAAATGTTGATCAGTATTATAATGAGGATAAAAATTAACATGTTAGCGTTAAACATCGAGTAATCAATGTCCATGGTTTGAAAAAAAAGAAAATAAAAAAAATGCCGGTCGGTCTGCTTTCGTTGTGTATTTCAAATCAGACATGACGTTACTATGGATTGCGTCACGACCTACTATAGGGTGAATGATGTCAGATTCCCAAAACATCACCTGACTTGAAAACATTGACTTTTTTTATTATTTTTTTTTTTAAATTCAGGGAAATAAACTTTTATCGGATCGAAGAATTTTATCGCCTTTACCATCATTCGTTGGTTTAGTGCTTTTTTTATTTATGGATTTAATTATTTTTTATATTAATAATAATCATCAATTAATAAAAAATGAATAAAAATATATAATATAATTTTATTTATAATTTATTTTTTTTATAATTATTTAATTTTTTATTTTGTCAATATTCGTGTATGTTATATATATTTTTATAATTTATTTAGTTTTCATTTTATTTTATAAAATAAAATAAACTGCGCTTTTAATATATTTTTTATCAATATTCACAAATTTTTTTTTATTTGTTTATTTATTGTATTTTATGTAGAAATTTAAATAGATAATCGGAGTAAAAAAATAATCTATTTCTGTTATATTTGACATATTTTTTTTAAATAGAAATAAACAACTTATAAATTTCTATTATTTTTTTCAAGTTGAAGAATCGACAATTTTTAAACTTTATTCACAATTTTCTTTTTGATTATTTTCTTAATTTTATTAAAAATTTTGTTTTTAATTTTATTATTGATTTTATTATCGCAACTTTATTTTTCATTTTATTTTAAATTTTAAATTAACAAAATAGAAATTTCTTCTGCGCTTTTAGTTTGTAAACTTGAAATTTAACACTTTTGAATTGAAAAAAAATAATAGTTGTCAATTGATTTTCTTTTTAGGTAAAATTATAGTCGTGAGAGTGTGTGGTAAACGAGGACGACGACGCAAGGTATAAATTTGCATCCTCCATCGGCAAATATTTACCGAGCATTTCTTAGATTCCTGCCTTTACATTGAGACGTGAGGTGTAATCATATTTATATACACAAGGGGGAATGATTACTCAATCGTAAATTCAGGAATGCCAGGGAGGAGAGATATTCACCTCATTATAATTAGGAGAAAAGAAAAATAATTCTCAAAAATCATCAATGACATCATATTTCTTTTTTTGTAATCGAAATTTCAAAATTTTATATACAAAACTTGGAGATTTTAGACTTTTTTAGGCTCGTAAATTTGGAGAGGAATATTTTTTTTTCTTTTCTTCACAATCACGATTTCTTGTATTTTGCTGCAATTTATGTCATTCATGGGTTTCGATTAGTTTCTTCAATGTTAATCAAAGGTCAATAATCTTGTTTATTTAAATAGGAGAGAAAAAAATGGAAGCAGTGAAGGTCGAAGTTATTTATTAGATGTGGAATTTTTTATTCTTCTGTTTAAAAAATTCGTATTTTGGCTTTTTTCTATATTTCTAATCAAATTCCTTTGTCATTTTCTTTAATTTTCTGTTAATTTAATTTTTTGTCTCTCTACTTTTCTGTTTAACTTTTCCATCGTTCTAGTTTCCTCTTTAATTTTTCCGTAATTTGTTTACTTTCCTGTTTAATTTTTATTGTAATTTGTTTATTGTTCTATTTAATCAATTTCTTCGTCGTTTATTTACTTTCCTGTTTAATTAATTTGCTTGTCATTTTTGCCCTTTCTGTTTAATTAATTTTTTTCTGTTTAATTTCTTTGGTATTTTTTTTTTTTTTACTTTTCTGTGTAATCAATTTGTTTATTATTTTTATTACTGTTTTGTTTAAAAAATTAGTTTTTTGCTATTTTTCAACGTATTTAAATTTCTTTGTCATTTTACTTTTACTATTTATTTAATTTTTTCGTCTTTTCTGTTAAATTAATTTTTTTTCTTTCATTTTTTGTCCATTTTCGTTGAATTAATTATTTTTCGGTCATTTCTCTATCGTGTAAATTTGTTTTCCCTTTAAATTTGCATTAATTAGTTGATTTTTAATTGATCGTACAATTGGAAAGTGTAATTATTGAAGTATCATTTTTCCTGCGCTCTTGACATTGTACTTCAGATGAACGCATGTGTAGGCACACTATAATTGTGCAAAATGTCCGTTGGTCTATAAACTCCCCTACTGAGATAAGTTCGCCTACAACATTCTCCTTTCTTTTTATCTTTCTCTGTTTCAATTGCGACAAGGCGAAATGATTACCCTCCCCTTCGATTTCATTTTAGATTCGCCAACGGTATTAACTGCTTATTCACAGTTTCCATTACACACACTATACAAAATGTTTGAGTTGCTTTTTCATTCAAAATTATTTGTCGCAAAAAAATTATTATTAAAAGGAATTTCAAAAAAAATAATAAAAAATAAAGAATAAAAATAATAAAAAACCAAAAATAAAAAATAAAAGAAGTAAATAGAAATAAAAATAAAAAAAACAAAAGAAATAAAATAAAAAAGAAACAAAAATGAGCAAAAGACAGAAATTGAAATAAAAAAGAGAAAAAATAGAAAAGAAATAAAGGAAATAAAAAATAATAAAAAAACAAAAAAAAATTTAATTTAATTTTAAAACTTAAATAATATTTAAGAATAATTTATACTGTTTTGAATAATAGAAGAAGGAGTTTAAACGATTGAGTAGAATTAATTTTTGGTTATTAATAGTCAAAAGATTTTGATTTCGAAAGAATTCAAATAATTTATTACTTATTAAAAAAAAATAATTTCAGTAAAATATGAATTTTTATATTTATCTATTTTTTTTTAACTTACTAGAATTAAAAATTACGAATACAAATTAGAAAATTCGAGAATAAGAAATAAAAAAGGAAGTCATCAATTTAAGTAAATTTAGAGAAAAATGTAAAAGCAACGCATTAAGAATTATTTTCTTTTTGAAGAGATTCACGCGTGGATATAAAATTGTAAATGTGGGTCGTCGTGCAGCTGAAAATAGGAACAAGAAATACACACAGATTAGTATATATGGGGACCAATACTTGGCTTTATCCCCGAAAAAAAATTGAATAAAAGGTCGTCGTCGTCGTCGTAGTAGTAGTTGTTTTCATTCAAAAGATTTCAGGAGTAGTTGTGATGCAATATACCTGAATTTCCGAGTTGTTGTTACATAAAAAAGATTCCCGCATTTCTTTATTTTTTTCCACTGAATTTGCCGATACTATTCTTCAAGAAAAAGTAAAAAAAAAAAAATAATAATCGAGACTTTGAATTAGGAAATGTTGCTTGAAGTAAAAGAACAGTAGGCCAAGGATAACGAGACAGAATCAGCAAAAATTTACTAGTTGATGTCACTTTTTTCTCCTTGATAAATAATTTAAGAAGAAATCCTTGTATTTTATGTTGTGCCTACTCTTATTATCCTTGCATTCCTAGATTTTAGTTTCCTTATATTTTCAAAAAGAAATTTTTTTCTTTATTCAAAATAGTAATTTTCAATTCAATTTTAAGTTTTTTTTCTACCCTCTGAAAATAAAAAAATAGTAGTTTTTTTAGTTCGAATTTATTACTTTTAATTTATTAATTAATTTAAAATTTTAATTTTGAATTCGAATTTATAACTTTTAGTTTATGAATTCGGAAAAACAAAATTTTATTTTATTTTCCTAACGGCGTTTAGTGTACTCAGAAAATGTGACCTAACTGTATCGTTATCGATTGAGATTAAATTCCAGAATCTTGGCAATCGGAAATTTTAGAAAGTCATGAAAAATAAAAATAGAAGAATATTGAAAATATTTAATTTTATCATTAGGGATTATTCCTGGAGGTGAAATTGTGTTATTTTTAAGTCATTAGTATTTTTATTAGAAAATGTGTATTTTTTTGGAAGCATGTGCTTCTTTTTTAAAAATAGTGACACAAACTGTTGGACTAGTAACTAAAGGCGACTTATAATATACAGTAAAGGGAAGGTTTGAGTTCAGTGATCACATTTTGGGTATAGGGTGATGCGTGCCACGCCTTCCTGCTTCGCTCGAAAGACTCTTTAAAACTTATTATGCACATTAGACTTAGACCCAAGTTCAAAAACTTGAACCAAAAGCGCATTTTTTCCAAATATTCAAAATAGGTCAAGTTTTTCGAATTTTTGGAGAAAGCTGAGATTTTCCAATGTTTATTTATTATGAAATTAGTATCTGAATTTTTAGCAGTAATTTATTATTAAATCCATATTTTATTACTTTTAGTAATTAATCCTATAAACAGAAACTAGGAGTCTGTCTATTCACTTGAATTTCTATTTTCATTAATTATTTATTATTAAATCAATATTTATATTATATTAATATTATTAAAGTATTTTGAAGTATAGTATTTAATTATTTTCATAGTAATTATTTATTATTAAATCATTTTTTTATTTCTAATTATAAAAAAAATAATTAAATACTTTTTCCTGACTGAATCTTTGCCTTTAATTTTTTTTTAGACTTGAGAAGAAAACAAAAGATCTACAGATTGCTGAAAGAAATGCTACGATTTATGAATCTCGTTGTGGTGATTTACAATCACAATTTAATCAATCGCAAGCTGAACGCAAAAAACTTTCCGAAAGGGTACGAGAATTGGAGAAGGAAAATGAGAGACTACAAACTTTATTAGATGACTGTCGGAAGAATCTCGAGGAAGAAACTTTACAGAGAATTGATCTTGAAAATCATATTCAAAGTCTCAAGGAGGAGAATAGTTTTAAGGATCAAGTTTTCCAACAGGAATTAACAGAAACACGTTCACGTCGTCAGGTATATTTTTCTTTTCCTTTTTTTTCATTTTCTTTTTGGAAAAATGAGTAAATTTTAATAATGTTATTTTTGGAATTGTCTAAATAGGTCGAAATATCAGAAATCGATGGACGTCTCGCTGAGCAATATGAGGCAAAATTACAACAATCACTGCAAGAATTGCGTGATCAGTATGAAGCTCAAATGCGCGCTAATCGCGAAGAAATTGAGATGCTGTACGAGAGTAAGATTAAAAACTTGACATCTCACGCACAACGAAATAGTGGAGCAGCAACTCTTGCAGTTGAAGAACTTCGTCTAACACGTACACGAATCGATGGATTGAATCAAAAGATCAGCGAACTCGAGACTCTTAATAATGCACTTAATGCTAAAATCAGGTAATGGCAATTTTAATGGCAATTCATTCAAAATTGACTTTGGTGAGAAAAAAATACTATTTTTTCAAATCATTTTCGATAATTCAATGATTTGATAAAAAAAATTCGGGTTTTTAGAAAATTCGCCCTTAAAAAGAAATTTAAAGTAAAAATGCAATTTTTTTCACAGAGAGTTGGAAACTTTACGCGAGAATGAAAGAGCTCGTCACGCCGAAGATTTGGCAAATTTGGAGGGTGATTTGTCGCGAATGCGTGATGAAATGGCTCAACATTTACAAGAGTATCAAGATCTTATGGACATCAAGATTGCTCTTGATTTGGAAATTGCAGCTTACAGAAAGCTTCTCGAGGGCGAGGAGGCTAGGTAATTTTCAACGCTTTTTAGCCCTAAAAACATAAATTAATAAATAAATTAATTAATAGGCCAAATAAATAAAACTGTTTATATTTTTGTAATATATTTTGTATATAATAACTTTAGCATATATTTAATATAATATTTAATATTTTATAATATAAAATTTTTGCTAATATTTAATACAGATTAAATATAACACCGATGCCAACTCCTGGCTCAACGATGACTGGCGGAAGAACAACTCCATCGCGTCATACACCAATTCGAGGTGGAAAACGAAAGCGCACACTTTTAGAGGAAAGTGAAGAGCGAAGCAGCAGTGATTACAGTGTTTCAGGAACAGCAAGAGGAGACATGGAAATCACAGAAGCTGATCCACAAGGACGTTATGTCAAGTTGACGAACAAAGGAAGCAAGGTATTTTTTTTGCTTCGAGCAAAAAGAAAAAAATTTACCAACGACGTAAAGATAAAAATTTAATGTTTCTCTAGAAAACATTAAAAAGGAATTAGCATTCCAAAAAATTAAAATCATATTAAAAATATTAAAAAAAATTTTTTGAAAAGAATGGAAAATTAATTACATGATTTTTAAAAATTTTAGGAATTAGTTTTGAGTGGCTGGCAATTAATCCGCAAAGCTGGAACATTGGAGACAACATTTAAGTTCCACAGGACTGCGAAAGTCGATGGTGGTGCAAATGTTATGGTCTGGTCGGCAGATGTTGGTGCCACTCACGAACCACCATCCAATATTGTTATGAAAAGTCAAAAATGGTTTATCGCTGATAACATGACTACAATTCTTTTAAACAACGATGGAGAAGTATGTTTTGATAATGGCAAATTTTCAGTTTTAATTTTCTTCAATCATATTCTTCGTTTCTATTATTAATTTTCATATTTATTTACGAATACGTTTTTTTTATTTGAAATCATAATATTAATATTAATTTGTTAAGCTATAATAATAATTAATATTAACAAAGATATAATTGTACTTATTTTTCCTTACAGGAAATGGCAACATCAGAACGTAAGAGGCAACACTTGTCCACCACTTTGTCTCGACATAGGGAAAACCTTGGTTTTAGAGGATCTGAAGATTTTCATCATCAGCAGGTGAGGAAATAGAAATTATTTTTATTACTCTTCGTTTTTGTTTTAAACACAAAATTGAACGGCAATTTTTTTTCTTTAATTTTAGTAAATTTTTATTTATTGAAAACAGATTGTTGGCAATTTAACACTTTTTGTTTCGTATAATTAAGAAACTCATCTTCGATAATTGAAATTTTTTTTCTAAAATTTGAAATTTCTTTAAAAAAAAAGAAAACATTTTAGAAAAACACTTTTTAATCATTCAATATTCACTATAAAAATTGGCACTGATTTATATTTTTTCAAAATGTATTTAAACTTAATGAAAATTAAGCACATGTTATTGTTTTGAGAAGTGGAGAAACTTTTAAAAATTTAATAAAAAAGTGAATGTTTATTTTTTTAAGAAGACAATGTGGATATTTTTGACACAAGAGTCCAATTTGTCGGCTTGTTGCAAATAATTTTTTTAAAATTTCATTACAATTTTTTTTTCAATTTAACTAAAATATGATTTTTTTCCTTATCGTATTCATCTCGCATTCTTTCATTTATAACTAAAGCACAATCAACGAGTTATTAACTTTTAGACCGAAAATAAAATTTTTTCAAAGCGAAGAAACAAAAATTTTAAAAAATTGTTTTTTATAGCGAATTGTATTATTAAATTAAACTTTGAATAGTTTATCATTTTCCAGTCAAATATCTGAAGAAAATTTCAATATTTTGAGCAAAAAATAAAAATCGAAAAGATGTTTTTTAATTTTTGATTATTTGAATAATTTATACAAAACTGCAAAATTAGAATAGAAAAATAATATTTTCAAATTTGGGGAAAATTTTTAAATTATTGAAAGTCCAAATGTTAAAAATTAGAAATTGGACTTTATTTAGAGTTGAGTAATTTTGGTTTGATTAAAAGCAGTAAAGAATAGAAAAGACTTGTTAGTAAATTAAGATGAAAATGAAAATATTATGTAGATTTTTTTTCCTGTAAACCAATGTCCACTTCTTGTTCTATAGAGAAAATCTTATCTCTACCGATAATAAGTGAGAAGGCACACGGCTCAAATAAGCAGCCTATGTAAGTTGTATTAAAAATCTTTCCGATGTACATTCAATCATTTTTTGCCTATCATACTAGATTTTTTATTGCCTTTTTTTTATAAAAGTGCCATGTTTTCAAAATTTTATTTCGCTTACTTTAATGTAATAATATTTCTCTGCACCTTTCCGCTTTTTTGCTTTTTACTAAAATTAAAAAAAAAAAATGAAATAAAAACGTGTGTTTTCGAGGTTGTTGAATACTCACATTGAAATCGCGCGAAATTTCTCACTTAACCACATTGTCTTTCAAACAAAAAAAGAAAATATCTTACGCTTGTCTTTTTTGAAAATGCAGTGAAGAAAACAATTTAAAAAAAAAATAAATGAATATGCTATTAACATTGTTACATGGATAATTTATCATTTTGGGAACAATGTTTTTGAGAATTGATTATAATTACATAAAACGAATAATTTATTAAAAAATCTATCAAATGAATGAAAATTGGATTTTCTGTTATTAAAAAATATAATTTAATTTAAAATTTTTTTTCTTTTTAAATTTTACAATATTTTGAGTTCATAATTACAAAAAAATATATTTCTTATTTACATTGTGAATTATTACAAAATTTGATAGAGTTACTTTTATATTTTCACCTCAAAGCTTTTCACTTGCCTACAGGTCATGAATTGCCCATAAACATCATTCGGTCGGTAAAAATTAGTCAAATTATTAATTTAGTATTTTTAGTAAAATTTCACTAAATTGTAACTAATCAGAACGAGGAAATTAGAGTAAAATGTCATCCAGATTTCAGTACAGAAAAAGGTTGATATGATTTTTTCTATGAAAAAAGTATTTAAAATTCTAAATAAAATTGAATTTATTAAAACAATTTAATTGATTAAAAAATTAAATTAGAATTTATTATTTAATTTTCTTACAAATAAAATATGTTTTTATTTTTATAACTTAGTTATTGACAATCTTATTCTGAATTGAAAAAAAATTCATTTTAGATGTGGGACGTGGGTATAAAAAAATCACAGCGAAATAAAAAATTTTTGTACAATTTAATTAAAAATATGTTTGTTTTTGTTTCAGGGCGATCCACAAGGTGATGATCGTTGTTCTTTAATGTGAGCATAATCTTTATAGAGAATAAGAGATATATCAAAAAATTAATTATTATTTTTAAAGAAAAAAAAGGAAAAAAAAACTTCTAAGCTTGTAACAATATTTTACGCTAACTACGAGTTTAAAAATCACCAAGGTTGAAAATAATTTATCATTTTTTTGAAAAAGAAAATAAGAGTTTTGAACTTGTCTGCAAGGAAAAGAAAATGGACTGTAATTTCTGGAATGCTTAAAGAAATGTACAAAAAATATGAGGAAACTAAGAATCAAGAGAGAGATTATTTTAAAGGATACAATTTTCGGATTTCATTCCGAAACGCAAATTTTTTTCTCCATTTTATCATTATTTTTTTCTTTTGCCTTGGTTTAAATTAACTCATTTTGCGATAAAATAAGTGTTCATCAGTTACACTGAACATTAAACAGGGTTCGAGACTCGTATTATATTAATTTAAAAAAAAAAGAAATCGTTCCTGTTAATTTTGTTTACTTCGAACTTAAACTATATTATAAAAAAATTATTCCTCGAAATGTGAAAGAGAATAATTAATAATACGATTTGATATAATATTTAAAAAGAAACTAAATGGGATTTAGAAAATATAAGTGCATTTATCCAATTTCCGGCGTGTTGAGATAAAAAAAATATTTTTTATTCTAGCATTTTGCTTTAAACTGATTCTAATTATAATATTTAAAAAAGGAAAAATTTATAGTGTAACAATTGTATCTTTTTTTAAGGTACTTATAAAGCAGCTTGGACATAATTATTTTTTCGATACTTTAATCAATTATAATAATTATGATAATAATATACAGTTCATTTTGGGCAAAACTAACAAAAATCTCGTATGCTTCTTTATTTTATTTCCCCTTTTGTTGCGAGTGTGGTGTTCGTCAATTGTAAATTTATAAAATTATATATTTTAATGCCTCTTATATTTTTTGACGAAAATGTAAAAGTGTGATGCAAAATTTTGTATACAATAAATTGTGTGTAATAAAGAAGTAAATTGTCATACAACACAAATATTTATTACTTAATTAATTAAAATTAAAAGATACAGTAAAAAATGTTATTTACAAAGTTCAATGATTAATAAGAAAACTAATTAAAATCAACTCGTTGTCTTGAAAAAGTAACTTTGTATCATTAATGATTTCTTAAGACCCGTATACGTTGGATTATAGTTGTAAATTAGTGTTTTTAATTTTTCCTCCTCGTCTTCAAATTTATGGAAATTTTTCCGTGCTGGAAATAAAAATTTACACAGTAAATAAAGAAATGTTTTTCGTAAATTTAAACTTTTTGTTTGCTGGTAAAAATGATATTTTTAGTTGAGAAACAAAAATATAATTTTATATTAATTAATATATTTTTAAATAGAAAATATAAAAAAATTTAAAATATCTCATTAATTATAGCAAAAAAGAAAAATGCGAAATTTATTATAGAAAGAAAAAATTAGAATAAATTGACGATAAATATGCAAATCACTATTGTGGTCATAATAAATCTTTTTATTTTACATTCTGGAAAAATGAAAAATTGAAAGAAAATAAAAAACTATTACCTTCAATTACTAAGAAATCGGCAAAATATTGATTAATAATTGTCGCATTCCTGCTGTGAGGAATGTTTCTTCCCTTAACCCATTCGTAATCATTTTTTTCCGGATGAAATTGCAGTCCATAAAATGGATATTTTTTATCTTCAATAGTTGATATGAATTCCAAACCGTTTTCATCGTTATTCAATGACATTACACGTAAACTATCTGTCAAATTAACTCTCTCCAAGTCCTAATAAAATAATTTATAGTGTTTTTAGATAAAAATTGGAAAATTATAAAATAAATTAATTTCATTATTAAATATTAATTATTAATTTAATTGATTTAATTTTTTAATAAAATAAATTTATTTTCTAATTTTTACTTTAAACTCTAAATTATTATTTATTAATAAATAAATTATTAATTATAAAAATTATTAATAAATAAATAAATTTATTTAACTTTTTAATTAAAAAAATTTGCTTATTTATTTCTAATTTTATTTAACTATAAAAGTTGAATAAAATTAGAAATAAATAAGTAAATTTGTTCAAAAACATTTTGTTTTTGAAAAATTGACTAAATTGAATTTAATACATTGAAAAATTTAATTTAATTAAATTAAAATTTTTTTTGTATACAAATTTCAAAGAGAAAAAAAATTGTCCTTCTTACGGATTTCGTCACACAATAATTGTGATAATTAGCCGTCACATTGTCAGTTTTTAAAATGTTGATAATTTTTTCCGAAGTACTCCCAAACAATTTACTTTGATTGAAAACTGAATGAAATGTAAAAATTATTTTTATTAGTGAACTGAACAATAAAATATTATTATGGTGGTAATAATTTTATAAAGTAACAAAATAAATTTATAATAATCGATTGAAAAATTTTGCATAATAATATTAAGTTATATAATCATAATTTTTTTCTCACTTGGAAAATGGAAAAGAAAATTAATACCTGGTGTGAAATTGAGAGGAATTGCTTGACAAACAGAAGTACAATTTGTTCTGTGTTCTACACGATTAGCACTGAGATAAGTTAACAATTCAAAACCCAAACATATTCCTAGGATAGGAAAATAATCTCCATTGTCATTATATCTTTTGGCAATTCTGTGAAGTAATTTTAATGTTATTTTATTAATTATTTTAACTATTTTAATTAAAATTAATAACTAATTTAATTTAAAGGTTATAATAATTTAATTATTTATTTTATTTTAATTAATATAAATGTCTATTTAAATTAGTAAAAATACTTTAATTACTATTAGTAATTATTAATTAATCAAAAAGCGGATGTACCAAAAAAATTAAGTAATAAAAGTGAAAAGAGAAATTAATATTAATATTAATTTAATAAAAATTAAAAAGTATTTTTTTTTTTTTTTTGTAAAAATTAAAAATTATGCTAACTTGTAAATTATGTCACCAGCGTCAGCATAACCGTTAGATACAAAAAAATTTACATCACCACCTGGGAAAAGAACTCTGTGAAGAAAATTATTAAATTATTATTTAATTATTTAATTATTAATAATTTTCTAAAAAAATATTTTTTTAACGGTATCATTTTTTACCCATTTAATTTACTCATTATATCCTCATAGTAGGTAGAATTCTTTCCAATCCTGAAAAAGAATAGTTTATAATATTGAATAATTTGTTTATGTATTTTTAAATAATAATTTTGTTTTATTCTTAATATTACTGACCATATAGGAACAGCTTGAGCTCCGGCACCCTCAACAAATTTTATATACGAAGCTGCTATATAACTATCATATTCATTGGAATAACTTGAATACAGTCCCGGTATAAGTTCTTGCGATAGAATTCCTAAATTTAATAAAATTTCCAATTATTTTCTTTTTATTTTTTATTTCAACAATTTTTTTTTTATTTATTATTTCAGGGTTGCCATAAGTCAGGGAATTCAGGAAAAAATTAGGGAAAGTAGAATTGGTCAGGGTAATCAGGGAATAGTCAGGGATTTTATTAAAGTACTGTAAAAAATTAAATTTTTAGGATTCAAATTAGAATTTTGAATTTTATCGTCTTTTTTGTTTGCAAATTACTTAATGAATAATTTTACTTAAATATTTCAAAATTTATTGAATTTGAAAAAAGTTGTGTTTACAATTTCTATAAATAAATGAACTTCAAAAGGTTTTAATTTGAAATTTTAGAAAATTTCAATTTTGAATCATTTTAATTTTAAAAAAAGTAAAATTTTTAGTAAAATTTTTTACAGAGATTCAATTATTTTTATGAATAATAAATCTCATTATTAGAATTTCAATTATATTTAATACAATTTTAACCGAATTCCTCGAGAAATATAATTATTCTTGAAAATTTTATTAAAATTCGTCGAAAAAATTCAATTATTTAAAAATTTGTTGATAAATTGAGGGGCTGGATGCTATAATGTGTTACGCGCCATTCACTTAACATGGCGCGTAACACATTATAGCATCCAGCCCCTCAATTGAATATAAAAGCATTATAGCATGGATTTTTAGAAATAATTGAAATTTGAAAAATTAATTACATTTTTCGAAGAATTTACTTAAAATTGTATATTTAAAATAATTGAAATCTTGTAATGAATTTTATTATTTAGAAAAATATTTTTAAACTTACAATGAATTTAATTACATTTTTTAAAATAATTGAATTCTTGCAACGAATTTTTATTACATTTTTTAAAATAATTGAAATCCTGTGAAGAATATTATTATTTATAAAAATAATTGAATTCTTGCAACGAATTTTTAATACATTCTTTAAAATAATTGAAATCCTGTAAATCCTGTAAAGTTTATAAAAATAATTGAATTCTTGCAACGAATTTTATTACATTTTCTTTTAAATATTTGAAATCCTTTGAAGAATTTTATTATTTATAAAAATAATTGAATTCTTGCAACGAATTTTTATTACATTTTTGAAAATAATTGAAATCCTGTGAAGAATATTATTATTTATAAAAATAATTGAATTCTTGCAACGAATTTTATTACATTTTCTTTTAAATATTTGAAATCCTTTGAAGAATTTTATTATTTATAAAAATAATTGAATTCTTGCAACGAATTTTTATTACATTTTTAAAAATAATTGAATTCTTGCAACGAATTTTTATTACATTTTTGAAAATAATTGAAATCCTGTGAAGAATATTATTATTTATAAAAATAATTGAATTCTTGCAACGAATTTTATTACATTTTTTAAAATAAATGAAATCCTGTGAAAAATATTATTATTTATAAAAATAATTGAATTCTTACAACAAATTTTATTACATTTTTTTTAAATAATTGAAATCCTGTGAAGAATTTTATTATTTAATAATAATAATTATTTAATATAATTTTACTCACCAATAATTGGCTCATTATTAATTTTTGGAATTGATCGTTTAACTGGATTGGCACTGACTATTAGTATTGTCGAGAGTAGAGCAAAAAAACCGGTAAATAATTGAACAATCATCGTGAGATGTTCACTGGACGACAAACTAAATCGAAATGAAACAGGATGTACTTTATTATGCAGAACCTAAATAAGAATAACAATCAGTGTGACGAACTGAGAACTATTTCAGTTCAGAAATTTATTTATCTTCTCTCCTGTGTGTTTATATATACAATACAATCACTATTTATCTCCAAAGATAAAATTTCCAATATTCTAGAATAAATTGAAAATTTAAAAAAAAAATAGGACATAAAACTGAGAAAAATGAATTAATAATGTTTCTTTTATTGTTATTTAAATTTGCTTTTTTTAATGAAGTATGCGTCATGTGTATTTTACACTGTCATCAATGTAAAGTGAAGGAAAAAAAAAGTAATTTTGAAAAGATAAATTTTAAAATTAGTATTCTTGACGATTTTTTTAATTACTTTTTTATCACTTTTTTAATACACTTTCTATCTAGGGTCTAATTTATTTATTCCATAAAAAATTGTATTATTTTTTGTTTATTATTTAGCATTTCTTTTGTTTACTTTTTCTATTTTTTAAATAAGTATAAAATTATTTTGAATTTTCCCAAAATTTTTCACGAAACAATAAAGTCATTTCACTAACTGTGAAGACTGTTTTTTTAATTATTTTTTCTTATAGTTTTAAATTTCTTTTCAATTCAATAAGTATTTTTTAGTTGATTTATTTTCATTTATTGATATTTTAATTTCTAATAAAAGAAAGTAATAAATTGAAAGAAATAAAAATATTTAAATTATGGTTTTTTTAATATATAAATAAAATACAAATTTGATGAGTTAATAAAACTTATTTTGATTTAGAATTAAATGTGAAATATAAACAAATTCGAAAGAACACAATTAAAAAATTGAAATAAATTTACACGAAATATTTTCTAAAATTTATTTGTTAAAAGTTTTAATATTTACAAATCCAATATAAATTAAATCCAACTCAGCACCGTCACGTTCAAACACAATGGAGTCGCTCACTCAACAATTAAAGATTTTCCACTAAATCCTTTAAAACTATATAAAAATGTAAAAAAAAGAAGAAAAAAAGACAAAAAAAAAGAAATTTTTTTTTATAATTAATTGCTACTATACTTGTCATTTTTTAAAGAAGACACTAGAATTATTTCAAATGCAAACAAAAAGTTAATTATTCTATAATAAAATTAAATTTTTTTTATTTAATTTTTTAATTAAAAATTTGAAAAAAAATTAGAGTTAAAAATTCATTTTTCAAAATATGTAGACAAACGGCTGAATATTCTAATTTTAGGTAAAATTTTCAGTATCATTCAATAAAAACTGTAAATATTTTTAATTAAATAAATAAAAACTTTGAAATTTAATTTAATATTTTTTAACAGAGAAATACATTTTTTTTAAATTAAATAAATTTTGAACTCACAATAAATATCTTGTAATTATAAAAATCAAGATAATTAAAATAATACTAGCAGAAAAAAAATTATATTTTAAGAAATTTAAATTTAGAAATAGTATAAAAATTCTACTGCCTGAGTCTTGACAACCCTATTTGCATTCTTGTTAAAGAAAGAAAAGAAGTGTTGATAAAATCACTTTCTTTTCAATTCACTTACATTGTTGTAAATTTAAAAATTTAATTTTAATTAATTTAACAGGTGACTAATATATAATTATAATTATTGAATTATATATATTATAATTATTATATCACATACACCAAAAGTTAAATTATAAGTTTGACAATTATTAAATTAAATTAATAATTATTAAATTTTCAACTTGGAAAATTTTAATTACAATCTTCTATATTTAAATTTGAATTTGTAAAAATGTTTTTTAATTTCAGATAGTGACTGACTTTTTGCTTTTGAATTAGTAAATTCTAGTAAAAAATAGTAATTTCTACTAATTTATTAGTAACACTTACTATTTATTAGTAAAACTTACTATTTATTAGTAAAACAAAAATTTAATAATAAATTAGCAGAAATTACGATTTATTAGTAAAAATTACTAATTTAAAAGCAAAAATTCAGTCACTAATTTAAATTAGTGAATATTTTTACTAATTCAATTTTAGAGACTTTATTTTTGCGAATTAATCAAAAAATAATTGCAAATTTTCACATAAAATTACAATATGAGTCTTTATATTTATAAAAAAATTTATTTAAAACAAAAACAATTTATTTAAATATTTGAAATAATTCCTATGATTGTCTAGCATTTTTTATTCTAGCATGTAAAATCACTTTATTGATAAGTGCGTGTTAACACTTTATATTATTAAGAAAAAGTGATTTTTAATTAGAAAAAAAAGATGGTATTTAAAAAAAAAATTTCTGTAAAAAATTGAATGTTATTTAAAAAATGTGTGTGAGAGCAAAGTAAATGACATTTTTTTTTAAATATAAATATACACTTTTTCCTTTTGCTCATACGTAATTTTTACAAAACGCACGATCGTCTTTTTTTTAATGTGTGATCAAAGGGATATGCTCTAAATAATGAGAAGTTTTAGAAATAAAATAAAATCATATATTATATTATTATTATAAATATAAATTAATATAACATACATTTCTTATACAATTTTTTCGTTTGTTTTTCTTTTTTTTTGCAAAAAATTCAATTATATTTGAATTTTTTTTCTCTCATTTATCGTATTTCACACATCCCAATGAACGAAAATAATGATATTGAGGCATCCTAGATTGATAAATTAATGATCATTTACGCAATTGACTTGATGTGAAAGTAAAGAAAAATTTATTTCCATTCAAATGATTTTTTTTGACTATTGTTAATATAATATTTATTGCAATCAAAATAATTTTTTTTCAATTCATTTTAATTGGTTCAAAAATCATTTTATAAAATACAAATATTTATTTAATAATAGTCAAGTAATCGATTATCTGAATAGAGTAAATTTTCAATTTTTTTCAAATCATCAAAAGCAAACTGAACATTTATGATGTATCGACAAAATGAATCTTTTTTTTTTTTTTTAATAATTGTCTAAAACTTTATGCGCTTTTTTTGATGATGGCATTTAATGTAAAAAAAGTAATTCCAATTGTTTTAGTAAAATTATCGATTATATAGGATAAAGAAGAATAATTGACTATGCAAAGAATTGTAAGGAAATTTTTCTTTTAATCATTTGTCAGAATTTGAATTTATATCTTTAGTGACATGTAATTCAAGATATAAATTCAAATAAACAAAATTTTTTATTTCATTGATTAATCTATAGATACAAATAGAAAATAATAAATTTATGTAATATATTATATATATGGTAGCTAATTATTAGCAAATTATTTTTAGTAGATACAATCAAGAAAATTGATTGAGTCAATAAAATAATTTGTACAATCAGAGATTTTTAAACCAACACTTTTTTTTATTCTTGCCTCTAATTTAAATAACTTGAAAAAAATAACTGATTATTAGTAAAAATTTTCTTGGCTTTTTGTTTCTAGTAACAGTATCAATAAAACAATCATTATCAGTAAAATTTTTTGCTTTTAATTTCTAGAATCAGGAGAAAAAACGAAAAACGATTGAAATTTTTGCTGGTGTTATTTCTGGAATCAGTGAAAAATAACTAATTAAAAGTACATAGAAAAAAATTATACTGTTAATTAACAATTTTTTAACTAAGCTAAATTTTTACTCTCAATAAATGTAAAATAATTGATTGTTAATAAGAAATGAATGATTAATTAAAGTTCTATTAATTAAAGTTAAGTAAAAAATTATTCATTAGCAATTGACTATCAGTTAAGCAATTATTAATTAATAATTAACAAGCGACGAAAAATAATCCAGTTAATAAAAAAAATAACATACTATCAGTTAAAAAATTACTCATTACGTTGACTTAAAAATAACTGATTGTCAATTAAAAATTTTTTGATAAATGATTTAAATTTTCTCAACAGAAAAGTTAATAAAAATTAATTTGAATTATATCACTGAAAATTCCGTAATTTTCAATGATATTCAGTATTTTCTTGAAAATCTGATATAATGACTGACAATTATTAATTCTTGTCGAAAATCCGATATTTTTACTTCTAATCAATTATATTTTAATGATAATCATTAATTCTTTTTATAAATAATTTTTTTTAACTGATAAAATCAGTTATTTTGACTGATAATCAGTTATTTTTTACTGATGATCAGTTTTCTTTACTGATAATCAGTTATTTTAACTGATAATCGGTTATTTTGAATGATTATCAGTGCTTCTTACAGAAAGAAACAGTTTTTGTCTTATAATTAGTTCTTTTTACTGATAATAAGTATTTTTTACTGACAATCAGTTAAATTCATTGATAATCAATAGTTTTTACTGACAGTCAGTTATATTTACTGACAATGAGTTATTTATACTGAAAATCAGTTATTTTGATTGATAATCAGTATTTTTTTACTCACAGTCAGTTATATTTACTGAAAATCAGTTAATTTTATTGATAATCAATATTTTTACTGGCAGACAGTTATATTTACTGACAGTGAGTTATATATACTGAAAAATCAGTTATATTTACTGAAAATCAGTTATTTTGGTTGATAATCAGTACTCTTTTACCGACAGTCAGTTATATTTACTAAAAGTCAGTTATTTTTATTGATAATCAGTAATTTAAATGGCAGTCAGTTATATACTGAAAATCAGTTATTCTGACTGATAATCAGTATTTTTAACTGCCAGTCAGTTATATTTACTGAAAATGAGTTATATATACTAAAAATCAGTTATTTTTATTGACAATCAGTATTTCTTTCTGACAGTCAGTTATATTTACTGAAAATCAGTTATTTTGGTTGATAATCAGTATTTTTACTGACAGTCAGTTATATATACTGAAAATCAGTTATTTTTATTGATAATCAGTAATTTAAATGGCAGTCAGTTATATACTGAAAATCAGTTATTTTGACTGATAATCAGTATTTTTAACTGCCAGTCAGTTATATATACTGAAAATCAGTTATTTTTATTGATAATCAGTATTTTTACTGACAGTCAGTTATATATACTGAAAATCAGTTATTTTTATTGATAATCAGTATTTTTACTGACAGTCAGTTATATATACTGAAAATCAGTTATTTTTATTGATAATCAGTAATTTAAATGGCAGTCAGTTATATACTGAAAATCAGTTATTTTGACTGATAATCAGTATTTTTAACTGCCAGTCAGTTATATTTACTGACAATGAGTTATATATACTAAAAATCAGTTATTTTTATTGACAATCAGTATTTCTTTCTGACAGTCAGTTATATTTACTGAAAATCAGTTATTTTGGTTGATAATCAGTATTTTTACTGACAGTCAGTTATATTTACTGAAAATCAGTTATTTTGGTTGATAATCAGTATTTTTACTGACAGTCAGTTATATATACTGAAAATCAGTTATTTTCATTGATAATCAGTATTTTTCACTGACAGTCAGTTATATTTCCTGCTAATCAGTTATATATACTGAAAATCAGTTATTTTGATTGATAATCAGTGTTTTTTTATGACAATCAGTGATTTTGATTGATAATGAGTATTTTATTGATAATCAGTTATTTTTTTACTGATAGTCAGTAGTTCTACTGACAACATTTCTTTTTAACTAAACAATAAGTTGAAATATGAATCATCGATTTAGTTTTACTCTTCTGAATAAATAATTTTCAACTGATTGATACCTAATTAGTACAAAAAATTATCAAAAAAAAAAAAATATTCCCCGGCAACATTTTCACAGGGCAAAATTGTCCTCAACATTATTCGTTGGGCAATATTGGCATTATTTTTATTCAACATTGATCGAAATGTTGTTGACTTTTTTCTTCTCCTAAATCAGTTATTTTCAACTTAAAAATTCAAAAAGAAAGAAATTTAAAGAAAGAGTGGACATTGAAATATACATAGAGATAACAATTGAATTATTTAGAAAAAATATACATATTATTTAAATAATATATTAAAAAATTATCAACAGTATATTCTCAATAATAGTGACTAAAAGTACACAATGACTGAATTTTTCTCTTCACAATAAAATCGTAATTTAACAATAATTGTTTATTACCATTTTTACATATTGACGCCATAGGATGATTACAAAAAAAAATGTTTCCCTAATTTTGCGCAGATTGAGATACTTGCCTGGTACCATAGACAGGTTCAACAGGCACTAAGAAAGTAACTTTTTCACTAGCCTCGCTATCATTCTCCTCTTGTCTCAATATTGGACGATTTTTCCTAATTGGCCTTGGTCGTGAAATAACCTCCTCGAATGCGATGTACTCGGGTCGTTGGACGGGTTGATTTCGTTGTTTCTTGAGATAATAACCAGCGGATGTACTCTCGACAGCGTATGGTCGTCGGGTGGGTTTCGTTGTTTCTGGAACTGGAGTGACAGTGTAGCCGGCGTTGATGAGTGAGGCCAAATCCTGTTGGGTGAGGGTTTGGATTTTTGAACTGGGAATACGAACGAATTGGGGGGTTCGACTTTGGGTGGTGTCGATGATATCTTCGATGGTGAGGGATTTAACGGGGGCTTTCTTCAAGAGGCCGGATTGTGAGACGTAGGATTGAGCGGGAATTTTGTGTTTGTGGGCCTGACGGGGTTGATTGATGATTGGTTGGGAGTATTCGGTGTCGGGGGATTCTTGATTAGTTTCTTGTGGTGGTGGTTTTGGGGCTGATCGTGGAACGTAGGATGAGCCAGAGGCTTGGTATTTTTGATTTTGATCGTTGGTGAAAAAGGAGTTTTGTTGGGGGAGTGTTTCGGGATTGGGGAGAAGGTACTGGACGGCGGGAACGTGGTCGGGGTCGGTTTTCCTGGCGTTGGCTTGAGCGCGAGCGACGGTTTGGATTTCGGAATTGGCTTTGGCGCGTTGGGCCTGATGGGCTTTGTAGAGGGCTAGGGCTTGGGCGTTGGCGAGGGCCTGGGCTTGCTCTTGGGCGTGAATTTGGTTGCGCTCGAAGTTGAGGGCGTTCTGGTGGGCCTGCTCTTGGGCCTTGACGTGTTGTTGTTGTTGGGCCTGGACCACGAGGATGGCGTCGGCGTGGGCTTTGAATTCGGCGGCTTCTTGGGCGCGACGGGCGGCTGCGGCCTCGGCGGTGGCTTGGGCTTTGATTTGGGCGCGATAGGCGGCTTCGGGGTCCTTTGGTTGGTACTGCTCTTCGATGTGGACTTTGCCGGCTTCACTTACTTGTTCGCCTTCCTTGATTTTCTCGAGGGCTGTCTGTTGGCGAAAGTTCTCCTCGGTGATGCGGATTTGCTCGAGGGCGTCGGATTGGTGCTTGGTGTGGGAGGCTTGGGTGATTTTTTGGAAGGCGAGGGCGGCGGCTTGGGCTGCTGCTTGGGCTTGAGCGACGTCTTCGTTGGAGTAGCCGTAGTTTTGGGCTTGGCCTTGACCGCTGTATTCGTATTGGGGAGCGGGAGTGGGGCGGTATTGTTTGGTGGGTTTGACGTAGTCGGTTTGGATGGGAACGGTTCGGTGGTAGGCGAGTTGTTGCGGTTGTTGGGGTTGATAGGCTGCCAATTGCTCCGGCTGTTGGTATCTGGGTGCGGAGGTTTCGATGTGGTACTGTTCAGGAAGTTGGGGTTCGACGGTTGGCTTCACGTATTGCGGTTGTTGTTGTTGGTAGTTGACCAACTGCTGTTGGGAGTATTGGGGTTGGTAGGCTTGGGGAGCTGGTCTATTTGGCTGCGCGGCTGCCAACTTGAATTCCTGCGCTTGATTCGCAGAAACGAGTTGAAGGAGTTCCTGCTCGAAGGTTCCCAATTTTTGTTCCGGATATGCCGCAGTTTGGTAGTTGGAATCGGTTGCACTGGCCCTCAATCTAGCACGAGCTTCGGCCCGATCATGGGCATCTTGTTGAGCTTGGAGTTCGGCGGCATATTCGGCTTGAGCCAAAGCTTGAGGATGGAGTTGAACTCGAGGTCTCGGTGGTGCGATTGCAGGGACTCGGCGATTTTGATAAGCGGTCTGCAGTTGCTGCTGTTGTCTAGCAAATGGCGATAGAGGCTTTCGGGGTTGTGGCGGATTGTTCTGAGCAAACTGTTGTGGTTGCTGTTGAGTGTACGTTTGTTGCAGGAGAGCTAAGTATTCTGGTGCCAACTGAAACAAACAATAAAGAATATTTAACAGAAAATACGATTGCATCACTCGATCGTTAGTTAGTTCATCATTAGATTCATCATTAGTTTCATCATTAGTTTCATCATTAGTTTCATCATTAGTTTCATCATTAGTTTCATCATTAGATTCATCATTAGGTTCATCATTATTTACATCATTAAATTCATCATTAGGTTCATCATTAGTTACATCATTAGATTCATCATTAGTTTCATCATTAGGTTCATCATTAGTTACATCATTAAATTCATCATTAGTTTCATCATTAGGTTCATCATTAGTTTCATTAGGTTCATCATCAAGTTCATCATTAGTTACATCATTATAATGATGTATTATGGTAATAATAATGAATCTATATTTTTGACGACATAACAATGCTGTACCTATAGATACAGCATTGTTATGTCGTCAAAAATTTAGATCCATTATTATTTAAAGAATTTTCTGCTTATTTATAAGTGCAAGTTGAGCACATTAAACTGACCAATGTGGAACGTAAAGTACGGTCAATGACCGTAATCTTTCCTTGATAAATTATTGATAAATGTCGGAACTGCGGTACACTTACTTTCTACATTGCGTAATTCAGAAATATCATACCTTCTCGATACATCATCCTAATTCAAGCAAAAAGCAAGTTCTACGTTACATTGGAGAGTGTAACTTGAAAGTAAATCATGCCCGTCAAATAGTATAACGTTTATCGAGACTGTAGGAAAGTTTTATTAGGAATCGGCAGCACTCTCAGTTATTTGTAAAGAGTACCACATTCGGTAATTACCATCCATAATTTATTATTTTTATTATTACAAAACTGTCATAAATTTCCTTCTTCCCTTTGCTTATTTATTAAAGAATTGGAATTAAAATTTGCATGTCCTTAAAATATGCAAGTTAGCAAATACTTGCAGCGATATATTACGGTAATAAGAGGAAAAAGTTGGTTTATATGTATCGTCTTTAAACTTTCTACCTCGATGAACTTGACTTTACGTAATTATCATCGTTAATTCAGCATGTCTATTATTGGGGATAAATTATCTTTGGTCATAGTTGGGTGAGTCGATGCAGAGTCGTCCTAGACTCACCGTTACAGAAACAAGAAAGAAAGTCGAAATGAATTGTTTTTTTTTTTTTATTAAAAAAGGAGAGTGAGTCGCAAATTATCGAGAGTTGGCTGATTCGCTCTAATGAGTCACCCGTGGGTACGCAAGGCCGTCAGTAAGACGGAATCGAATCTGTGTTAATAACCATGGCTTCAAAGACGTAAGGGCGGGCGGATCTATGTTTAGTATTGGGTGTGGTTTTACCGGTTCTCGAGTCAGAGAATTAGCGATTAGAATGCGAGTAAAGTTGAGAATTATGCAACCGGCAAGTTTACCACATTATAATGCATGCAGTTTCCAACTGATCACAATCGTAACAAAGATCACATGCGCTGATAAATTTGGCACCTTCGCCAAAAAATTTTTATTCTATATCATACCCGGAAGATTATTATTTGATAAATACTACATCCGCCATAGATATAGTATTTTTTTTCAAGAAATAATTCTTTTAACAAATTTTATATAATGTTCCTTTATTCATTCCTTTATTCATCTTCATGGCAATGAACCTCAATTTATAAAAAGAAACCAATTGCTCACTCTTGTGGAAAATATTCTCATTATAGTAAAAAAAGGAGTTTTTTTTAGACTTTTTTCTGAAATGTTACCAAACAAGTTGATGTAGACTATGATCTTTTTTACGCAATTTATTCATTCACTGTAAAATTCTTTGAATGCCAATTGATAATATTTACCCAAGGTAATTTATTGTGAGAAAATGTGGCTTATAAACAATTTAGATAAATACTTTTTTTTCGCTTGTGGAAAAAAAAGAATTTACAAATAGTGTGAAAATTTCTTGTTGGAGCATTATTCTAATAGCGTCTTCTGTAAATTCTAGTGTTAATTTAAAAGAGAGCCATACTATAAATTGAAAAAGAGACAGATTTTACAATCTCTTGGAACAGTTTGAGGGGTACTATTTGAACCAATTGCATGGAAATGCCGAAGGCGCGCCAAAAGTAATGGTACCACCTCAATATTGCGACAGATATCGCGTTAGATCCTGATCAAACCCTTCCCCCACTTAATTTTTCCGCAAGCAACCTTCCCCCTTTTGCAAATGCTTTTACGTATTGCGTGCAAAAAAATATCGCGTTCATGGTTAGTTATTCGCCATTGCTTTGTGCATGTTGTGGTGCACCGGTGATAGGCGGCCAATGGTCACGGTTGACCAACAACACAGACGTTTACTGGTTAAAACTGTGTTGCATTGACCACCTTGTTTTATATACAGGAAGAGATTCTTTTTTTTCTTTTGCTCAGTTACATCAAATAGAATCATTTAAACTTTGTTTATAATTTCATCATATTTTCAAATCTTCTAATTGTTTATTTTTTTACCTACTTAGGAAAGAGAGAAGAAAATAAATATACAGATTTTACATCATCGGACTATAAAATGATGAATTTAGTATCTCTCCTTTTTTTTGTATAAAGCGCGAAAAATACTATTATTTTATGGAGAGAACATTATGTATTGGAAATTATCGAAAATTAATGACCGGCATAATAATCTTTCTTACTGAAACTGAGGTCATAATTCTGTCTACAGAGAGGTACTTTTAATATTGAACCGGATTTTAAAATCAAATCACGAACTAGCTTAGCTACTTGGGAAAAAATGTAGAAACAGAAAGTTTCACATGATCGAATTCTGTGCGTTGATACCTACTGATTATGATTATAAACGCCGCGAGAACTTTATAAAATCTCGAATTATTATACTGAACATTAGAATACTATAAAATTTGAGAAAGGCAAAAGAGAAAAATAGAAAAAAGAAAAACAGAAAAATAAACAAAAGTTTATTTTCTGAAGAAAAAAATTAACAGAAGGAAAAAAATAGAAACGGTGTATAAAAATTTAATTTTTTTTTTTTTTTGATAATATTTAACTTTCTTCTTTACTTTTATGGATAATTAATGTCTCGACTGATTTAGATATTGTAGACTTTTACGATATCGGAAAAGAAGTTTCATCTCTTTTTTTCTTAACCGTTTATATATTAGAATGCTTGCATTCATTCTGGAGTCGCTGAAATATGCAGAAAGTAATGCAATAATACTGGAGAAAGAAAGGAACGTTCTCTTTAACTTTACCACGACTACTATATACACTCGTCACTAGTTGTTTCATAATCTTAATTTCCTCACGAATAGGATGCTATACTGCTATACAAACGTCGCGTCTCTGCGGATGAAATTATATGTCCGTAGACGTAGAGATTTCCCATAGGCACAGGTGACGATCTCCAATTGTTCTTTTTTTTATCATTATTATTATTATTAAAAAAGAGACAAAATCTTTAAATTTAAATATATTACAAAATACAATTGAAAACTAACATTTAGAAAAAAAAATTAAAATACAATCCTTCCTCTATGAGGAAGCAATAAATGTTTAAAATTTTGAATTTGAAATAAAAAATTAATAAAAGTAAAAAATTATTAAATAGATTGAACCTATTTTTATGTTTTTAAGTTTTTTTTGTATTTTTATAATTTTAACAACTAAATGAATACGAAAAGAAAAATTAATTCCTATATACTTGAGGGAAAAGTTGTTGAAAAACGTAACGGACAGAGAGACTTGTATTATATCTACGACAATAATACGATTATTTTTATGATTACACAATGCGGTATTTCCTTGACTCGTCTATAAAGAAACAAAATTTTAATCACTACAATTATGAGCCATTACTTTACTTATATATTGAAATGTTTTCCAAATAATAATTTTACCTGAGCAAAGAAAATTCGCAGGCGAATATGACAATTATATATGGTTGTCTGACCAAACAGGGAAGTTTCTACTGGTTCAATATTTGGAATTGTGGAAAATGATTATGTAAACGTGTAAATAAACATTATTATGAATTATTATAATTTTGTGCGTTTGATTCTTGTCAATATTGTAACATTAGAGTAACATAAGATGTATATAGGAGAAAGTTTATACTTTTATTAAAGGGAAAATAATTTTTTCTGAAAAAAAGACAAGAATAGAAAAATTATATTCGAATTAATAACTTTTAAAAGGGACAGAAAAGGCTAAGAAAGTAATTAATTTTCAACAAAGAAAGATAACTTAATAAAAAAAAGTTTTAAAAGAGAGGAAACAAAGAAAGTAAACTTTTTCTGGAACGAAAATAATTTTTGGTATTAAAAAAAAGGTAACAATGGAAAATGTTAAGGAACGTCATTAAATTTTAAATAAACGAACAAAAAATCATTCTTCAAAAGAGAGAAAATAAACTTTTACTAAAACGAAAATACTGTTTGATAATGAAAAAAGATAACAATAGAAAAAAAATTGTAAGGAAATCGTTAATTTTGAAATAATATGGAAAAAATTCATTTTCCAAAGAGAGAAAATAAACTTTTACTAGAACGAAAATAATGTTTGATAATGAAAGATAACAATAGAAAAAAAATTGTAAGGAAATCGTTAATTTTGAAATAATATGGAAAAAATTCATTTTCCAAAGAGAGAAAATAAACTTTTACTAGAACGAAAATAATGTTTGATAATGAAAAAAGATAACAATAGAAAAAAAATTGTAAGGAAATCGTTAATTTTGAAATAATATGGAAAAAATTCATTTTCCAAAGAGAGAAAGTAAACTTTTACTAGAACGAAAATCATTTTTTGTAAAACGTTATAAAACGTTATAAAAAAGAGATTGGTACCAAAAATGTGAATCATAACCCAATTTGATAAAAAAAATTGATATCAAATTGCCTCAAAGTGGTATCAGTTTGATATCAATTGGTAAAAAATTTGCTTCAAATTGGTATCAAATTGATCTGAATTAGTATCAATTTGAAGAACATTGGTATCAATTTTTTCCAAATTTGTATTAACTTGATCTAAGTTGGTACCAACTTTATACAAACTGGTATCAATTTGCTTCAAATCAGTACCAACTTTTTATCCTAGCTGGTACCAATTTGATCCAAATTGATACTATACTCATTTTTCTTCAAACTTTTTTAAATTGACCCAAACTTTTAATTAATTTGATCTAAATTAATACTAATTTTATCCAAATTGGTATCAATTTTCTTCAAAATTGTATCCAATTGATCCAAATTATTATTAATTTTTTCCAAATTGGTACCAACTTTATCCAAAATGGTATTAATTTTTTCCAAATTCGTACCAATTTGATACAATACTGGTATCATTTTTTTGCAAATTGGTATCAAGTTACTTCATATCTGTATCGAATTTTCATTCCAGATGGTACCAATTTGATCCAAATTGGTATCAACTTAATCAAACATGACATTAATTTTTTCAAAATCAGTATTAAATTTGATCTTAAGTCGTATTAATTTGATCCAAATTGGTACCAACTTTACCCAAACTAGTACCAATGTTCTCCAAATTGGTACCAATTTGGGGTCAAAGTGGTACCAATTTGGTCTAAATTAGTACCAATTTGAAGAACATTTGTATAAATTTTTTTTCAAATTTGTATTTATTTGATCCGAATTGGTACCAACTTTATCCAAACTGGTACCAATGTTCTCCAAAATGGTGTCAATTTGGTGTCAAAGTAGTAACAACTTGATTCAAAGTGGTATCAATTTAAAAAAAATTTGTGGTAACTGATAACAATTTTATCCATAAATTGATATCAACTTGATAATTAAATGGAAATGAGGAAAAAAATAATAAGAAAATGAAACAAACCTCTTGTGCGTCGTCACCGTGCCTAATAATATATTGATTTGGTGATGCTCCATAAACTCCACTTGCCGAAAGTGGTGACCTTTTGGCAGGCTCTTTGACATCTATTTCCAAAAGAACGAGCTCCTCTGCTTTCGCTGTTTCTGGTTTCTCGGCTACATTTGTGGCGGTCTCCTTACCAACAGAGACCGCTAAGAGACCTGCCAATAAGCATTCTTTTATTACTCATTATCCAAATAAATTATTAAACAACATGATGATATAACTTTTTTACTATTTAATAATTTTAATGTATATAATTTTAATTTTTTTTTTTTGAAAATTAATTAAAACTATGAAAAAATGGGGAAATCTCTTCTCTTCTCTTTTCTTTTTATTATATTATTTATTTTGTATAAACGTCTTTACAAAATTACCTTTCATTAAAGGAAAAAGGAAAAGAAAAAAAAGAAAATTTTGAATCTTAAAACTAGAAACGAAATTTGCTATAGAACGAAACATATAATAAACAAAATTTATTTGTTAATTATAATTAAATAATAATAATAATAATATTAATAATAATATAAATTTTTTATAATATTATAAATAAATAATAATATAAATAATAATAATAATAATAATAATAATAATAATAATAATAATACAAAATTATTAACAATTAATATTAATATTACATTATTAACATATTGCCAATTCAGTGATTATTATTACCACAGTTATTATTAATAGTTAATAATCTTATACATATTTTTATTGCTATCACCATATTATTATTGTTGCTGTTATTATTATTAAAATATAGAAATAAATTAGATTATAGAAAGGAAAAAAAATTGAAGTCTGCAAATGAATAGAAAACTGCGAGTTAATTTCCAGGTAATATGTATGCTTGAGATTTTAATAAACTATAATTGAAAATGATTGAAAGTGCGAGTTTTGAAGGACTTTTGATGGAATGAGAAATAGAGCGACCGACGAGGGCGGTAAAGTTGGGAAAGTTAAAAAAAAAAAAGCGTGTGTGGGGAAAGTAGTGCGTCTTAAGAAATTTTTCCCACGAGTTTTGCACTCGACAATCTTCTCTCTGTGTGTGTATATGCAAGTCTCGGCGAATACGATTATTCAAAACGATAATACTGTCGAGCAGTGTGATAGTATCGCGCGGATAAAACGTGTGCGAGGACAAATCCCATATAAGGATAATTTTTTTTTTATTTTTTGAATTAAATATATTGGGTATTAATATTTTGTTAATTAATTTATCGATTTGGAAATTTATATATGGATAATGCTTTCAATGCCTACGAAATTATTTACTTGGTTCAAGTAAATTTTATTTCGTTTCAATAAATTTTTTTTCAGTTCAAATAAATTTTATTTGGTTTAAATAAATTTTATTTGGTTCAAATAATTTTGTCTTTAGTTTAATAAAGTTTAATTTGGTTTAAATAAATTTTATTTGGTTCGAAGAAAAAATTTAATTGGTTTTAATAAACTTTATTTGGTTCGAAGAAAAATTTTACTTGATTTAAATAAATTTTATTTGATTCAAATAAATTCTATTTGTTTCAAAGAAAAATTTTATTTGTGTCGAGTAAAATTTATGTTTAAAAGAAAATAAATAATTTAGTGTCGAGTAAAATTTGAATTTCTTACAAAAAATTTAAATTTAGGCATTCATAGAGGCATTTTTAATTATTAACTTAATATTAAATTGTTTTTAATTATAATATTCTTTTAATTGTTTTGTTTTAAAATTGTTTTAGTTTTAATTGAAAAAAAATTTAATTTAGTTTAAAATCATTCAGTTTAAAAAGTTTTTATTTTTATTAATTAAAATAATTTAAAATTTTTTCTTTAGAAATGTTAAGAACATGGAAATGAAAAAATTGTCCGACTGTATGTAATGCTATAACTGTATACTGTAATGCCAGTCAGACTATTCACTTGGGAATTATATACAAAGCGTTTGTGCTATCGACCTTGCTAAGGTTGCAGACCGCTCGCGTTTTCTAACTCGATATACCCAATCAAATAAGTAACAAGAAAATGCTTGCAATATTAAATTTTTTATCTAATTACTATTTTCTTTGTTTACTTTTTCTTCTTTGTTCTATTATACAGAGAGGAGAAACTTAAAAATGAGAAAAATATTCCTTTTTGAAAATTTTTTCTTATTTAAAATTACCTTTACATTTTTTATACACTTTTTTATGCAAAATTAAATATTAATTATTAAAATAAAATATTAATAATTAATCAATAATTAATATTTTACTATAATTAATAAGTCTTTTATTTATCAGATATTTTATTAATTAATTTATTAGGTAGGATTAATAACTAATTTTATTAATTATTATAGGCTATTTTTTATTTTTCTAATTATTATTTTATTTATTATTAAGTTTGTAATTTAAATAAAACATTAAACGTACTTAAAATAAAAGGAAGTAAATAATGTAACAATTAAGAATTACTTATCAATTATGAATTCTACAAATTTTGTACTAAATAATAAATTGTATATTAATTTAAAAAGAAAGTAATTAAAAATTAAAAACAATAAATTAATATACTAATAACAATTTTAATGTTACTAATAATATATTGTAACGTAATAATATTGTGTAGTGCTATTAATATAAATTAATAATAATAATAAAAAAATTTATTATAATTGTACAATTGCAATCATAATAATTTATAAATAAAAAGGAAAAGCGATACCTATTCGTTAATTTTTTAAATAATAATAATTTTTTATTATTTAATAATCGGTCATTTTTGGGTCTTAAATAAAAAATTTTTTTCGTCCGCTTATGCAAGAAGTCAATTATTTAATGAATAGATTTTTTTCATAACTATCATTTCCCGAAATTGTTCTCAGCGTATATAAAAATTTCATAAATCGCTTTATTCTTTAATATATTCTGATGTTCTCAAGATTCCATTGAACTGATTGCGCGTCTTTCATTATATGAAATAATCTACTGTTTTCTTTTCTTTTTTTTGTAAAATTAATGTACTACTTCCTGAACACATATATATTGTGAACTCTTGTGTGTTGCAAGAGTGTCTCTTTGAATACATGTTTGAATGTTTAAAATTATGCATTATTTTGTCAGTGGTATTACAATATTTAGTTTTTGATCACAGAGATAATAACTTCTTTTTTTAGTAATTGAAAAATAAATTAAAAGTATTTAATGAATTTAGCTTGAGAAAAATTACTTTTAATAAATTTACCTTTGAAAAATTTAGTTTTAAAAAATTTACATTTGAAAAATTTAATTTTCACAAATTTTCCTTTGAAAAATTTAGTTTTCACAAATTTACCTTTGGAAAATTTAGTTCTAACAAATTTTCCTTTGGAAAATTTAGTTTTTACAAATTCGAGTACAAATTTACACTGAAAAAAATATTTATTTGATTTAAATGACGATAATTACTTGTCTATTGTCAAATAAATATTTTCAAAATAATATAAATAAAAGAGCGAAGAAAGAAAGTATAAAAATAAAAATGGAGATAAGAAATTCGATTTCAATGAAATTGAATATCTTTTAATAAAATATATATGTGCACATGAAAATCCAGTTGTATTGAGTAAAATAGATTGTGTCTCCGATATGCGGTCAATAATTTTTTTTTCTCTTTTCGAATACGTATTTTGTTTCTTATATTCAATTTTTTACCTTTATTTATTTTTTTTGTATATTAAAATAAATTTTTTAATCGCAAATGGAATTTATTCCTTTCCAATCAATATTTTTCTTTCAAACATTCTCCAACTTCTAAAAAAATATGTTTTCAATTTTAAAATTTAGAAAAAAACTTTCTTTTATTCATTTATTGACGTTTTAACGCAAAAAAAATTGCCAAAGGGATTCTAAAATTTTTGTGAAGGGAAATTTTCTCTTTTGTAAATAAATTGTTTAAATTTTGTAAATAAAACTTAATAAAATGTAAATTTTTTAAATTTTGATAATTTTACTTTAAATTTCTTTTCTGTAAATAAATTTTCTAAATTTTTTAAACAAAATTGTTTGTTTTATAAATTGCAATAACAACTATAAAATTTTTTTTGAATGAAAATTTACACTTTTGTAAATAAATTATTTAAATTTTATCAAAAAAAAGTTGTAAATGTTATTAATTTCCCTTTTTTGCAAATAAACATTATAAATTATTTCTTTTTTTTAAACTCGAAGAAAGAATAAAGAATTTATAATTATTTAAAGAAAGAAATTTCTTTAGAGAATTTTTCTATACTTATTGCTTTTTTATTTTAATCGCAAATATAAATTCTTTCTATATACATTAAAAAGCAAATTGTTCTAAGTACATAATTTTCAGTATGTATTTTTTTTTTTTTTTTGTTTATTGATATGGGAAAAAAAGATTTTTTTTCTAGACAAACATACATACTTTTGTTCATTTCTTAAAGAAACATAAGCATTTCTATTGAGTGGCCCCGAAGGAATGTTGTACAAATAAAGCGTTTATTTTATAATTGAATGAAACAAAAATTGTTCTCGGTGTGCGAGCGTTTAAAGTAATTGGCTTCGGTTACATCAAAACAGCGATGCACTTTCAATTGAACCGGAAGACTTTCACACAAATGGTGCATATGTATTAATTTTCATGAACGTGATCCGCGTGTGCGTCTATATGTCTCTCTCTCTCTCTCTCTCTCTCTCTCTCTCTCTCTCTCTCTCTCTCTCTCTCTCTCTCTCTCTCTCTCTCTCTCTCTCTCTCTCTCTCTCTCTCTCTCTCTCTCTCTCTCTCTCTCTCTCTCTCTCTCTCTCTCTCTCTCTCTCTCTCTCTCTCTCTCTCTCTCTCTCTCTCTCTCTCTCTCTCTCTCTCTCTCTCTCTCTCTGTCTTTCTTTTTCTCTTTCTCTTTTTTTGTCTTTCTATTTTTTTTTTCACTCTCTCTTTTTTTGCTTTTCTTTTTTCATTCTCTTTTCTTTTATCTCTTTTTTCCTCAATTTCTCTTTCTTTTTTTATTCTATCTCTTCTTTTCTCTTTTTCTTCTTTTTGCTCTTTCTCTTTTCTTTTCTCCGTTTTTCCTTTCCCCCCTCTCTCTCTCTTTTTCTGTTTTATATTTTTTCTCCCTTTCTTTATTGTTTTCTCTGTTTTAGTTTTTCTTCGTTTTTCCATCTCTCTCGCTCTCCTTTTTCTCTTTTTCCTGTTTTTT